CCACGGCACAGGGCCCGGTGCCTGCTGGCAGAAAGCTCTCCCCAGTCTGCCCTCAGTCCCACCGGGGCTGGTTCACCCCCCCCAGGCTGTGTAAAGGGTTTTTCAGCGTTTCCACAGGTCCCATTTCTCTCTCCTGGTGGTGTCTTCTTGCTTCCATCGTTACCTGTTGCTCCTCACAATGCCCTGGGATGATCTAGGCTCGAGGTGAAGGAAACTTTTCCATCCCAAATCCTTGTACTTCATTTTTTTGTGCCATTACCGGGATGGTTTAGCAGCCGCTGGTGGCTCTGCTCAGGTCACTTCTCAGCCGGGCCTTTCGCAGGGCATCTCCTGGTGAAGAAATTCTGCTCATCCCCAATTCCTGAGGTTCGCAGGGGTTTCTCCCTACACTCCGGTGGGTCCATCCGAAGGAGAGCCGGACTGGTGGACAGCTGGGGGCTGGGAGCAGCACAGCTTCTCCTGGGTCTAGGAGGAGCCGAGCAAACGCGGCTCATCAGACCTGTGGGGAACCAGGGAGCTCTCACGGGGCTTTAATTTCCTCCTAGGCAGTGGGCAAAGCCTCCTGCTTGGGGAAGGAGGGCATGGGTGTGCCTTCTGTCGGGGAGATCCCTGTGCCAATTCACCCAGAACTGCCTCGTGCACGGCTGCAGCTCGGTTTGTGTGGCTTCACTTGGTTTTAGCCCTACAGAGGCTGCGCTCCGCGGCGCTTATCTCCACGGGGCTCGTCCGGCTCTTACGGCACTGCAGCTGCTGAGACAACTGAACCTAGCACAGGTCGTACCGACGGCAGCGCCTTGACCTAGGTGTGGGCTGTGTTTGTTGGCAGGGCTGTATTTATCCTGCCTGTTTTATAACCAAACACAGCAGGGCGCACGCCCCGGGCTGAAATGCCCAAAACTCCGGGCGGCAGCGAGCGGGGCCGGCCGTGAGCACCGTGGTCTGCGTCTGGGGACCCTAATCCAGGGCAGCAGCACCTGCCCCAGGGGTGTGTGGGGGGGTGTTTGCTTTTGGGAGCTTCTTTTTGCTGTTCAGGACACTGAATCAAACCCACAGCTGCCTGTCGTGTGCTTGGGGAAGGACTGGAGCCTGTCCCAAGGACTTGCGCTGATGTAACACGGGATTTTTTTCCTCCTGCCTTTCTTCAGTCATGTTTAACTGCTGTGTTGTTTTTTTTTGATGAAATGTTTGCCTCCCTCCATCTCTCAGCTGCTCCCCGGGCTTTAATCAGAGCGATCTGAGGACTCGGCACGTTGATGAAGTTGCTTCCTGCAGCTCTCCAAAGCGTTTCTGCAGGGAAGGCAGAGGCTGTGCCCAACCCTGCACATCCAGCAGCACGGTGCCAGCCAGGAGGGGGCTGCTGCCACCTTGTCAAGGCTTTAACTCAATTTTACCCCAGGATTGGAGGCCTTTTTCCATGGGTGAAGGCCCCCAGCCTCCTATGGGCACGGCGTTGCATTGCTGAGCATTTCTCTAGCTTGGCTCCGCCGCTCTTCCTCCTCCTCCACCGCTCCTCCTTGTCCTCAGCCATTCTTCCTCCTCCTCCTCTGCTCCTCCTCCTCCACCACTTCTCCTCCTCCTCCTCTATTCTTCCTCCTCCTCCACCTCTTCCTGCACCACCCGGGCCGGTGTCAGCTCCCGGCTGCCAGCTCTGTGCGCGATTTACCGGCGGCGCCATCTGCTCGTGCTGGCCGCGCGCTGTCCCTGTCGCTCAAGCTGAGTGCCACGCCAGCTGCGTGCGCGCCGCCCGACGCCTGCAGCCGACACGTCACAGCCTCCACCAGGGGATCGAGCCTACCTGGGAGTGTATTTATTTTTAAAGAGTCAAGCCCCTAAATCATTTTTCTGTCCTGTGGCCGTGTCCTGAGCTGGAGAGGCTGCACGGCTGTCGTGTGTTGTCCTCCACAGCCTGCTTTGTGTGTGCTCTTGCCCAAAACGGTGCCCACGCAGCAGCACGAGGAGGAGTTTGTCCTGGAGGATGGATGCAGGAGCTGCTCACGGCGCTGCCCGTGCCACCTTCACCAGCACCGTCTGCCCCCGGGACGAGCCACACTGCACGGTCACAGCCATCTGCCTCTCCCCACCCTTCATTTCCAGCTTCATTCAGCCCTGTTTTGGGGCAGGTGGAGTGAACCGGTCTACTGATCATCATTTCCAAGCCCCTGATGTTTAGAAAGAAAAAAAGTGGGTGTCCCTGCCCCCAGCAGCTGGGTGTCCAGCTGGGGTTTGGGGTGACTGCCCGTGACTTCTTCCAGCGCTCTGTTTTGTGCTCGGTTGCCACTTTCTAATGAAAATACTGCTTTGCAAGGTGTTCTTGCAGAGATTAAAACTAAAGAAGCTGCGCACCGAGTGTCCAAAAGCTGATCTACGGGAGGAAAAGCTCTACACTGCAGCAGAGGGGGGGGAATGGAGCCGGCTCTGAAAAGCCTCGGCTCTAAATATAGAGGGAGCGCGCTGCGCCCGGCGCTGTTTTGGAAAGTGTGGCTGAGCCATCGCTGCCTGTCCTCCCCTCCCCTCCTCCCCTGTGCTGCGGGGGGGCAGAGGATGAAGCAGACGTTCCCGCCTTTGGCTTTCTCGGTTTATTTTGGGTTTAAATCCAGTGGGTTTTTCCGGGGTAGGATGTGCCCTGATTTTAAGGTGAAACAAGGAATGGCTGTGCCGCCGCTCACACCGCCGTGCCGCCTCGGAATCGAAATGGGCTTTGGGTGTTTTTTTTACCCTTAATCTTGATTTCTGTGTAATGGAAATAAGAGTGAGGCTTCACAGGGCAGGACAGCGTTGTTCCAGCAGGCACGGGGGCTTTGTGGCATTGTACAGGTGCTTTATTGCCTTGCAGAGGAAAGCCAGGGGAGGAAGGAGTTCGGAGGTGCTCTCGGCGGCTTTCGACCTTTCTTCTACCTGATTTTTAAAAAAATATTCCCAAGGTGGATCCCCAGCGAGCAAGCACAGTCCTGCAGAGATCTGGCTTAGAATCCCAAACTCTGGGGATGTTCCTGAAGTCGGGATTACCTGCAGATGCTGAGGGTGCATTTTGTAAAAAAAAAGAACTCTTCTCCAGTGAAATTGTCCTCTGCTTCTGAAATGAGAGTGTGGTAGAACTTCACTGAAACATTGCTGGTGGAGAAGTAACGCGCTCTGGAAAACCTTGTGGGAAATGATGCTCCAAAAATGCCATCAGTCTCGTGGGTGATGGAGTGGGAGCAGCGCTGCCTTCCCAGCGATACTCAGAGAAAGCTCCCGGCAGGAGGAGGGAGAAGGTCCAGTGCCCGGCCACCCCTTTCCTGCCTTTCCTGCGGTGTTATCCCTCGTGGAACAGAATTAAGCCTGGCTGGGATGGAGATCTGGATTCGAGCTCCGTGATGGGGTGATGCCAGCAACCGCTGAGCCCCCCGCACGCTCCACCGGCCCGGCACGAGCATGCAGAACGCGTCTTGCTCTGAATTTGTGGGTTTCGCTTGCATGTCGAAGGAGCCAACTCCTTAGTTTCAGGGTATTTTGCTTAGCTGATGTGAAACCCGTAGTCACCCCAGTGCTTTTCTTAGGGCCACGTTTGGTAGCAGGACGCCTGACCGAGGGCAGATGCATCAGAGGTGCAGATTTTTCTAAGAACTTGCTTATTGCTGTGGCACGCAGTCTCTGCAGTGCTTCGGTAATAAATCTCGTGTACCACGTATTGCTTGCGCTCTCGTGGCTGGTTTCAGCTTCCAACCAGGTCAATCTCAGCAGCAGGGGACTTGGGGTAGTTGGGGAAGAAAAACCTGGACCTCGCTGGGGCTCCTCTGCCTGGTGGGAGGGCAGTGGGGTGGCTGTGCTCCAGCCTAGACGAGATGCTCGGTGCCAAAAATGCTGTAGGAGGAAGGGATGGGGGGAAGAGGGAATTATTTTCTCACTAATTCCTTATTCTCAGACATCCAGATGTGGCAAAGGCGTTGTGCAGCGACACTGGATTCGTGCGTGCGCTTCTGTGTGCCTTGTTTCTGCATCATGTTGTGGTTTTCTTTCTTTCTGGGTAGTTTTAGTATTTACCCACTGGAATCAGGATCCTTCTGATCCATTCCCATGGTGTTACAGCTTCTAACGTAGGAGAGCGGAGCCGTGGATTTGTGCGTCCCTTACCTCTTTGTGTTTATTCCTGCCTGGAGCTCGGTGGCGGGGAGCAGGGCGTTTTTGTAGCAGTTGGCTCTAAAATGCGACGCTGTAGCCCACGTGCTAGCAAAAGCGTATTTATGCTCCTGCTGAACTGTATTTTGTGGTCGCAGCAGAGATAAAGAAGGTGGGAAATCAGCCAAGGGTTGCAAAGCATGTGGGCTCCCCCATGCAGCTGTGAGATCGGGGGGTGCAGCTCGTTTGGTAATTTCTGCTCTTTTTTCCTGGCTTTCTTTGCTCGGTCGAGCCATCAGAGGCAGAAATCGAGTTTGTTGTTGCCCCCTTTCCTTTGCAACACCTCCGTGCAGGGCAGCAGCTTGTGCAGGGCGCTGTCAGCTCTGCTGCTCGCCTCCAAACAGAAGATGCTCTCCGAAAACCCAACGATGATGCGTTGTGAGAGTGGCCACAGCGCCTTAATTGTGGGCGTGTGGTTTGTGCTGGCGTTCGAGCCTATTCTGTGACGGATGCCAGAGGTGCTTTGAAAGGGGATGAGCTGAGGGAGGGCGGGCAGGTGGGTGTTATTTCTTCGAGACTTGGCGAAGTGGCTCCGGCTGATGCGGCCAGGTAGGACTGGAGCTGCTGGTTCAGCTGAGCGTGGAGTAAAACCTTGACGCTTGCATAGGCAGAACTTCAATCACCGGGTACCAAAAGTTGGTTTAATATCGCTCTGCGGAGGCATGGCTTTTCCAGCACGCCTGTAGTTGGGCCGATAATTATTGGTGGTGGCTAGATGGTATCAGTCGTGCCATTCAGCTTGTAGCTTTTGATCTGGCTGTCAGTTCTGCTGGGTTTTCCGTGGGCTGTGTAATTAAAATCTCACTCAAAATCATCCCCCCTTCCCCTGTCTGTTTTTGCAGGAGACGAAGGGCAGAGTGGAGATGGGCAGCAGACCGTGCAGCCATCGTCAGTCGCTGGAATTGGCTCCAAGCCCACGTCTCGGACCTGGAATACCGAATCCGGCAGCAAACGGATATTTACAAGCAGATTAGAGCCAACAAGGTGAGGACTGTTTGGCTACGTGGGGTTTTTGCCCTGCCTCCTAATGGCTCTCTCCCTTCCGCTGCGGCGGGGAGTGTGTGTGCAGAGCGTGATGCAGTTTTTCCCCCCTGCATCTCAGAAAGCACATTGCACGGCGCTGACTAATGGTGATGCAATTTGGCATGGGCTGAGTGCAATTCTTTTCCCTGCTTCAATACGGTAACAAGAAGAGAGCAATCCCTCACCTAGAAGCCAGTCTTTGGGTGCCAAACAAAACTGCTGCTTTTGCACATGTGTTGCACTCGCCCACCACTCCAGTCTTGTTTTTTTCTTTGATTTGTTTAACCTTTCTTTCTCTTTGGGAGTATCTGAAGTCGGGGATAAGGAACGGCTCGATCAGAGCTTGCTGGGGAAGGGAGGGGACTCTGGAGGAAGTTAGCTTCAGATGCTATCACAGAGCACAGGCTTAAAATTGAGTCAGAAAAAAAAAAAAAAAAAAAAAGCCTGTAGGTGCTGACCTTTCTCTGTGGAAGGAATTTATTTTTTTTCAGACTTGCTCTCAGATGGCAGGATGGGGGAGAGCAGGAGAGAAGGATGAGGAAGGAATCGTTACCGAGACTTGTCCAGGCGTGCACGTCTAAATGTCAGGCCTTGCAGGGAGGAATGTCTGGAGTTTGTGGCAAGAAGGATCTTGGTATTGCATCAACTTAGAGATCCCCAGGAATTCAGTGTCCAGTGAACTCTTTTTCCCAAGATTTATGGTGGAATGGGGATGGCCGGGAGGGAGCCTTCCAGAGGGGTAGAGAGGCACAGGCAGGAGAGGAAGACTGTGGTCTCTTATGCAGCTATGCAGAAGAACAGGCTGATGGGGCGAGTGAGGGCTGGAAATGAGTAGGTGGAGGAGCCTGGCCAGCTGAAAGGGAATAAATACATCAGGGAGAGGAATCCTTATCCCTTCTGCCTTAAGAAAGCAGATCTTGCAAGGTGGTTTTGAAGTATCAAATAGAAAATGGCTAAACATTTATGAGCTAATAAAGGAAGGAGATGGGGAGGCTCATCTCACGAAGTAGAAGATGCGGTGCTTTCCCCAGGTTTGACAACTTGTCAGACTCGTGAAGTGGCCCCATAATGGCTACAAGCATCCCATGTGTTTGCATCTAAGGTTGCAGTCTCCAGGTCTGAAAGGAGAACATCACAGCATTGTGTCAGAGTCGAAAAGTACATCTGAGGGTTTGGGAAACAGCTTGTCGTCTTTTTTTCGTTTGCTCAAACAAAAACTCCTCAACTGCGGTAACCTGATGGGTGAATTCAAGATGAAGCCTGCCAGTTAGCGTGGCAGAAGAGTTGGGATAGTCGGGATCTGAGGGCTGCACAGGAAAGCAGCAGTCACAGCCCCCGTCCTTCTGACGGATTCATGGAGGTCACCGCTTGCACCCAGCTGTCATGTCGGTGTCGTGGAGCTCACGGATGCCTTGGCAAATGTGTTTGGGTTTTGTCAACGAGGAGCTCGGAGAAAGACTTCTAAATCAACTTGCAGCAAGCAGAGAAGACGAGGAAATAAACACACATAACACAGGAGACTTCGAATGGGCTTGACTTCAAACTGTACAAGGGCAGGAGTTAAAGAATTTGGAGACACCGTCTTTTTTTGGTCAGCATAACATAACTCTGGCTTTTTTTGGCCTAAAACATAAGGAGGTTAAGGTGTAGGCTCTGGAGGCATTCACAGCCACTATTCCTTTTTATTCCTTTTCTGGTTTTATTGCACTTGTACGTTAAAATTTCCATCCTGGCGTACCCTTGCAAGCAGGGCGCGTCGCTTTGTCAAAGCAAAGCAAGGGAAGGACAGGGCAGGGGAAAACAACCTTCTGCTTTGAGGGTACATCGCTGCCCGGCGTCTGGGCTCTAATTGTGTTTTCAGCACATTTGGGAGCGCTTTGGTCGGAGCCTGGCAAGATGCGGAGGAAAACAAGAAATCAGAGGCGTGTGTGCACAGCTCAGGCATCAGCTGCTGAGTTTCTGGCTGTTGGGCTTCGATTTTGTGTTGGTTTTGAAGCGTGCGTGTGGTTAATTGAAGGGACTGGATGTCCATGAAGGTAACGGGGTGTTTTTGTCTCCTTTCACTGCTCTGCTTCCTTGGGCTGTTTTTAGAGGGGGTGCAGGATGATGCCAGTTCCCCCCATCGAGTCTGCGCACCTCCCTGCGTGTGGGTGGCAAGTGCTCGCTGTTGGAGGAGGAACGGAGAGCAATTTCCCTCTCCCGTGCCTCTTTTCTCCTTAATTTTCCCCCGTAGATGAGGTAAATGAAGATGAAGGGCTCTTGGGGGAGTTTTGTGTAGCGGTGATTTGGCTGGAACACGATGACCAGGACACATGGGTGCGGTGGTGTCGGGCTCAGAGCACGACGAGCAACACCGCTGGGGACTCCCCATCTCTTCCAAAGGCTCCTGCTGCCTTCAGCCCCTTTCCTTCCCCCCTGGCCCCTTGACAGAAGCTGCCAGCCTCAGCTGGACCTGCTTCTGAGAGCTGCACGAAGGAGTTCTTCGTTATTCTGTTTATTTTGGAGGATGCTGGTAAAAAGCAAGCGTTGCGTGAGCTCGGAATAACTCGCCAAGCACCGTGGCTTTCCCTGTCCTGGAAGGGAGTTGAAAGGGTGATGTTGCCCTTCTGACTCCTGTCTGTTATTCAGACGGGTGCAAATACCAGAGATTAAATATCTTCAAAGCGGAGAGCCCGTCCAGCCTGCGGATGGGCTGGCCTGGGGAGCAGAGCTGTGCACACCGCAGGCATCGTGCAGGGGAGTGCAGCCAAATCCCCAGCACAGGGACATTCCTCTCAACATCCACCTGGATTATCCTGAGCCACCGGGCGCCTCGCTTCGTCCTCCTGCCTTCAGCTGAAGGCAGAAGTCCCCGCTGGCTGTTCCTGTTCCCGATGCGCACGCTTCCCCATCTCATTCTCTCTCTGAGCAAACACAGCCTGAGCGCTTTCCGGAGCGGCAAAGGGAAGCGGTTCCCTCGCTGCCAAGTTTGCATTTCGTCCCGGTTCCTCCCCTTTTTGTGTCCCTTGTCTCCTGCACTGGACACGCGGGGACGAGCGACCTCCTCTGCAGCACGCCCGGGGATGGTTCGAGAAGCGGCAGCAGAACATGATGGGTGCTTCCGAGAGGGATTTTTCCAGGAATACAAGCACAGCACAGCAGCATTTAATTGATTTTAGGCTTCCAGCCTCTCTCATCTGCTAAACAGCCTTCTGGGATCTCAGAAAACTATAGAAAATTGTCGTCGTGTTTATCTAGAAGCTGGCTGCTTCCTGATTGCTGAGGCCATGTCGAGTTGTATTTAGTTTATGAATGAGCTATTTTTAAATAAGCGATCCCTGAACGACGAGCTACCACTGTTTCTCTGGAAAGCCACAGCCGTGTTGTACAGAAGATGGTGTCAAGGTGTAGGATCAACCTTATGAGAGATTTGAGTGGCCACGTGCCATGGCTTCGGTCAGTGACACTGTTACGTGTGAAATCTGGTTTTGAGGACTTTGAGGGATGCCTGGCGGCTCTTTCCTCTCCAGATGATGTGTCCGGGTCCGCTCTCAGGCTGACTGCCCTGGGACACACAGAGCAAACTCTGAAGTTGTTCCCAAATGAATGTTCTCTCCATCCAACTTGCTCCGGCATGGCTTATCCCAGCCATATTCATGGCCTTTAGGTTCTGGCTGTCCTCCCTCGCACATTTTAGCCTGCTTTGGTGTGGTATAGCTGGGAATAGGCATAAATGTAATGATTTTATTTTACTTTGTGCCATGGAGTGAGCAAGCAGTCCTCCTGCTGCCGGAGTGAGCTTCGCTTGGAGAGAAACACCAACAGGGCAGCGCATGCGACGGCTGATAAAGGAGCGCTGAGCCACCGCGCTTGGTCCCGCTAGCTCTACTGGCAGGGGCTTGTTTATCAGTGTTGTTCTTCCCTTATTGAATTTTGTGAATATCACTTCTTTGAAAAAATCTGCTCAGAGTTAGGAGTCTGACTGCAGATTTCTGGCACCCACTCGAGATGGTTTGCTCGGCTGCACTCGGTGCTGTTAGAGCAGCCGCTTCCTGCTCTGTGCTGCAGCCGGTGAGCGTGCAGGAGGAGGGGAAGGGCGAAAAGGGAGCTCGGTGTCTGCTCCCAAAGGGCTGGAGGCGTGTGATCTGTCCTCTACCACCATCCTTCCCCATCCAAGTCCAGCTCCGATGTCAGGAAAATCCAGCAGGGGACTAGGTTTGGCATCACGTCTGGAAAATGGGGGGATGCAAGCCCCGCTTTGCAGTGGGTTCAGGTTATGGGGTTTTTATTTGAGGATGAATGATGCACAGTTTCCCTGTTGAACCCGAAGGATCCGCGGTTAATTCCTGTTCCCTTCCCTCTTTTTCAGGGGCTGATAGTTCTCGGTGAAGCAGCACCCCCTGATCCTGCGGTAGATGATGCGTCCCGTGCCGTCAGCGCTGAGGGGAAGCTGGAGCCTGGGGCTGAGCGGCTGGTGAGTGCCAGCAGCAGGGTGATGCTGGGGGCCTGGTGCTCCATGATCCTGGAGCCAGGAGGGATGCTCCAACCACAGGACTCTGCGGGAATCCCTGCAGGGCTTCACGTGGCCATGGCCTCGCTGTTGGTCCTGCCCCCTCCCGGGTTATTTTGGGGTTAATTAATGATATGATTTAAACACCTTTTAGCCCAGAGTTCCTTGGGTACCTGTGCAATATGCCATTAGCATGTTATGAAGCTTAAAAATCCTAACTAATCCTTTCCCTCTAGCAACAGTACCTCAAACTGAGAGCAGCACAATTAGCAAAGGCTTCTGAAGATGTGACTATTAATAATCTGCCGGAGCTTTACCCCTCAGAAAGGGAACTAATGATTTCAGGGAGATGCACTGGAAACTATGTGGAGTGCCAGGTATTTATTATTTAATGCAGAAATGTAGGCCACAGAGTAAAGGCTTGATCGTACCGCTCGCTCTGGCTGTGATTACTTTTGATCCTGCGGGACGCATCGGCGTATTAAAACGGAGGGTTTTGAAGTCGTGGTGTAGTACGAGGAGAAGGGTGGTCCCTGCCTGGCTCCAGCTCCTGCTGCCAGGCTGCAGAGCTGCCGCTTCCCTGTCCTGATGGGGAGAAGCAAAACTTCACTGCAGAGGGAGTGCTTGGGTTTCGCAGCCCAATATTCAACGTGGTTGATAGAGAGAAAAAAATTAACTGAAAGCGACCGTAAAATTGTATTTCAACTATTTCCTTCTGTCGCTGGTGAGACTTTGTCGGGGTTGTTCTGATAGTGAGCGACAGCACGAAATGCTGTGAAATTTTTGATTAACAGCGCACCGCGAGGGGTTCTGACAAGGGACTGTAATGAAATGTCCCCTTGCTTAACGTTGCCTTTCAGCTGTGTGTTTGGAATTTAAGGCTTTAATTAGCAGATTAGCTCAGCCCCAAAACTCCTGCGGTAGTAATTGGTGCAGCGAGCAGGTTGTGCTCAGGACCGATGGCGCTTCGGATGGAAACGGAGCCGCGCCGCAAGAGCAACAGGAGGCTGCAGAGCGGCGATGGCAGGGCCGCCACAGATCATGATTGAAGCAGAAGCATTACGCAGCGTCTGGTTTTGAACAGTGATGTCCGTCTGTCATCCCCCCCCCCGTCCACGCTTTAACCCAAAAAGCACTCAGGGAATAATAAACAAAGGCTGGGACAGCGTGCTCCGGTTCTCCTCGGAAATAGCAGGCTCCTGCGCTGCTGGATTGGCTGCTGGTTGGGAGCTGACCTGTAAATAGGCTGATAACAGAGACAAATAATCAAATTTAACAATGATAAGGAAGAAAATTTTCTTTCTTATCTGTCTAAATCAGGATGTTTATCCAATGATACGGGTATATTTTCAACCTGGAATCTGTAGATGGAAGCACTGTGTCCCTTCTGACTTTGTCCCTATAGATTCAAGACATTGTCCATATACTTAAAATCACCACGCTGCCCTTTTTCAGGTTGTCTTAGGCATCTCTATATGGATAGAATAGAAAATGTCCAGAGATGTACATCTCTGTGTGTACAGAATAAAAAACATCCACAGATTTGGTATAGAGGAAAGAAAATGCTTGCTCAGGCAGCACTTCTGGTGCTCAGCCACCTCGCTATTGCCATTCACTCATTCCCTGCTTTGTCCCCTTTCTCATCCCTTTCCCTGGGACAGAAGCTCTTCAGACAGGGATTTTTATTGCTGGAGCAGTAGCACTACGGAGATCAGACCTCTTGCAGATCTTGGAGGTAGCAGTGACACGAGGAACAGGTACCAAGAGCAGCGCAGAACATCTGCGTGTAGCAGGCTTAGTTACTACGAAGTAAAGCAGTAGTAGCTAACACCTGGCACCTTCTTGCAGCAACTTCTGCAGCCGTCCTTGCTCCTCGGAGGATGCCTGCTCCCGAAATGGACTCTTCCTCCCCCTGCACACGTGGCTGCTGGTGGGTGTGCGTGGCACCCAGCTGCCCGCTGCTCCAGCGGGGCTGGAGGCGTCAGCCAGCAGAAAGGCTGCCTGCAGGCACCCAGCTTTTACGCCCTCCTGCAGGAGGGTTTGTGCCTAATGAGACTTGCTCATAAGGGTGGGGTGTTGAGTCAGAGCCTTGATCTGCTCCGAGCCAGCGATTAGCCCAGAGACCATTCCTGGTGCATTAGGACACTCACTGGAAGGGTAGCTCAGGCCTCTGCTGGAGAGCTGCTTATCGTTTTGGCACTCCTCGGGCTGCTTACAATTAGATTTTTCTTTTGTTCAGGTTCGGAGAGCAGAGGAGGTCTGCAGTGCAGGGTTAGGGGAGGGAATACCTCCCATCTCATGCCCAGCTCTTCACCTTTGGGTCTCATCCACCCCTGGGACCTCCTTCGGCCAACCTGAATCCAGGATGTGTGTCCTTGGGCATCAGCTCGATCTGTAGGACGTGGCTGATAATCCCTAGAGGAATTAATCATAGCAGCAGTGAGGGAAAGGCTTTACAGAGCAGGCTTAGAAAGTCTGTTGCCAACTTCCACTTCAGAACTGGAAGCCCAGGGTCATTAAATGTTTTTGCCTGAAGATGGGAATAACGTGAAGCCCTGAAGAAATAACTCAGTGCTGATACCTGTTCGTTGCTGGACTTGCTAGCGAGAGGACGCAGCTGAAATTTTAATAATACATGAGAGAAGATATTGATGGATGTCTTGTTAGGACTTCGTCGTGCACTGGGGGCTGTGTCTAGTAATAGTTGAGGGTCTGAACCTGTGTTTTTGGGAATGTGAGGGACATTTCTGGTCCTGGGTCATGGCTACCCCCCTCCCAGCACACGCTCATGGAGTGGATCCTGTGCTGCTGGGAGAGGTGCTCTGCAGGCTCCTGGTTTCACGTGCAGACAGCAGCAGCATAAAGCTGTATCTGACCATCCTAAAAGCTCCAGGCATCCCCAAGACCTGGACTTCCAGCCCCAGAACCTGGAGAAAAGCTCAGCATGGAGCATCGCCGTGGTCCTGCTGCGAAGATCCCAGCCTGGCTGCCCTGCAGAAGCGCGCGGCACAGGGAGGTGCGGCCAGGGATAGCTGGGGACAGAGTCTGAAGGCTGGAGATCTCCGTGCTTGGAGCTGGTCGTGCAAGAGCCCGCTTAGGGAACGCCCATGTCCAGTGCGATAGGGAGAGCCTGCGGTGTGACTGATAAAAGGGACTTTGCCCTGACACTTCGCAGCTCCTCTGCAGGAGGCGGCTCGCCCCTTATTTCTATCTCAAATAACCAAGCCAGAGACCGCGCTGGAGAAGAGCTTCCTCCTTTAAGGCCCTTCCTGGAGGAGAAAATAAATAGCCCTGTTTCAAAAGAGCTCATGAGTCATGTGCACCCGCCCTCCCGCGCGCCGGCCCTGCCTCCGGCGGAGGTGTCGGGTGATGGCACGGGCTGGCCACGGCTCTGCGAGCCGAGGGGAACGGCTCTCGCCCCGCTTCACCTCCTCTCTTCACCTCCTCGGGGTGCAGCCTTCAGCTTGCGTAAAGCTCCCAGCCCCGTCCGACCCGTGCCTGGGGCAACCGAATACCAGACGAGCCCATCAGCCCGGACAGGAGAAATGTGGTGTGTGTTTTTTTAGCAGAAGTGCAGAACAGCCAGCCAAGTTCCTCAAACAGGCAGCGGGCAGAAGTTCTGTGCCTCGTCAGAAACGGCTCTGCCCCGGCTCAGCCAGGTCTCTGCTGGGCTCCGTGTGGCCCAGCACCGCTGAAACCCGATGTGGGTTGTTGGAGGGGTTGAGGAGTGATTGCAGGGAAGGTTTATTGAATCGAGGCCAGTACCAATGGCTCTGAGAAGGAGCATGGGATGGGCAGGGTGGCTGCCTGGACACCCGGATAGATAAATCAGCCCTTTGCCTTTTGTCTTTTTTATTAGTGCTTGAAATGCACCACCGCCCTTGGGTGCACAGAGGGGGAAGCCCAGCTGGAGAGACATTGGCAGCGAGTTTGGGAAGTGCTGCACGAGGGAAGAAAGCAGGGTTAACCCCGCGGAAGAGGAGGAGCGTGGCTGAAAGTAGAAGACAGGGCTGCGAGGATGGGTTTGGGGGAGCCTCGTGGCAGGGCAAGGATGTGCCAGGCTTCACCGGCACCAGTGGAGAGCGGGGATGCTAGGGCAGGAGGCACAAAGCCAGCGTGTGCAGGGAGGTGACAGCGACAGTCCCCCCTCTTTTGCCACTTTTAGGCCAGCACGAGCTTTGCCATATTGGATATTTCCGTGCTGGAGCCGTGCAGGAGCTGCAGCTCGTTGTAGCTTGAGAGGGTTTGTCTGCTTCTCACACGCAAGGCAGGAGGGAGAGGAGGTCTTCAGCTTAGCCCGTACTTGCTTCCCTCTCCACGGAGGTGTTTCCAGCTTTGTGTGTATCCGGCACTTTGAAAGAGTTGGCCCGCTTACACCCCAAAACCACAGCCTGGGTGCATTTTAATTTAAAAGATCTTGCAGAGTGCTCTTCGGACCGTGCTGGCACAGGTATTGAGTTAAAATGCAAATGGACTTGTCCGAGTCCGCTCTCCTTGCCGCCCGTTTTCCCCCAAAATGCTGAGGCAGGCGCTTGCAGCTCCGTGGCTTGCAGCACGCCGTCCGATGCGAGAAGCAGCCTGCGAGCTGTGCAGGTGGTTAGGAACTTCTCTGCACCTCAACACAAAATGCTAAAATCTCCTGAAAAACCTCAGCCCAAGTCTTTCATGCTCTATAGCGGTTGCCCGAGGGGAATTTGGAGCCTTTGTTTCTCACCTGCAAAGCGCCGTTGTGGATCCATCCTCTTGCCAGAGCTGCTCCCCACAAAGTCCTTACACCCCTGGTCTCCTGTTCACACTGACTCCTAAATCCCTGGTTTGAAGTTCTGCTCAGAAGCCCGTAGCTACAGTGCAGAAACCTCAGCTCGAAACTAGCAATAAGAGCTGTAGCTACTTAAGAATATTTCTAAACATTAATTTATCTTTTTTTTTCTCATCCTTCTGTAGAGTGTTTCTGGATCCCAGCCACTAGAGAACTCGGGGATTTCTGCTTCAAGTACTCCTGAATCCCATCCCGCCAAGCCCTGTGGAGCACCGAGACCCGTCAATGGAGTTATTAACACGTAAGCTGCCCGTGTGTTACGGATGGAGTCTGGTTTTTATGATTGCAAAGCAGCCCTGTAATGTGCTGGTTGGTAGTAATTGGGTGGGTAATGGTATGAATGGTTTCTTCTTGAAAAAAATAATGTTTGGTACTAGATCGTGCTCGGAAACAGCGTTGGAGGAGATCTCTTGCTTGAGGTTTTATGCTGCATTGTTTTTCTGAAAATGGTATTGAACTGAGCTGTGTTTACATGAGCAAGCCCTGCAGGCAACTGTGCAGTGAGCATGTTCAAAACTGTTCCTTTATGGGTATTTTTAATACACTTGCAAATTGGGTGATTCAAAGATACTCGAGGCCTGCTTGCAATTAGCTTGCAGAAATCTGTAAACCATTGGCCTGCTTTTCTGAAGATGCAGAGGAACCCAAATCCCATTGATTTCCTTGGGAATGGGATTCTCTAAATCCTTTGTTTCTCCAGGTTGTTTTTGTTAAGAAAATCTTTTAAGTGCATAAATGCAAACAAGCGACAGAAGTTCTCCTGTGCTACAGGATGATTTCAGGGTTGAACCCTAAGTTCTGTAGTGGCTAGAGAAGCGCTGCCAGCACCTTTGCCCTTGCTTAGTACCTTGGGCAGGATGCTGCAGCGTGAGCCAGCGCAGAAATCCTGATTGACCAACTCATCGCTACAGCTGAAACGCTGCAGGCTACGACAGGGCCCTTTATATGCCCGTAGCCTTTGAACTACAGAGCATTAGACTGCAGGGCTTTCATGTTTTGCATTTTTAGAAATGAAGCACTTGTGAAATATACATGAAAAGCTGGGGAGCTGCTCTGGTATTTGGTGCGTGGCGTGGTGTATTGATGCCACGGCAGGGTAGGGTTACTGCACGCGGACAGGAAACTCCTTTGTGTGTGAAACAGAAAGGTGAGGAGCAGCACAGCAGTGACACCAGAAAGGTGCAGAGAGTTGTTAGAGGTACAGTTCCTGAGTACGCATCAGAATCAAGTTTACATCTAGGCTTATTATTTTTACTAGAAAATTGCAAGGTCTCTGCCTTGCGCTCTCTTGCACCTAAACTCACTAGGACCTGTAGGCTTAAGATACCCTGAACTGTAATTCTGGGGCAGGATGAATTCTAGGATTAAAGCTGTTTGTGGTGAGAGTGGCTTTTGGGGAGCTTGTTCCATGCCTGGCTTTAAGAACTGCTTTTTGTTCAGAACTTCCAAAGCTTTTTGGTCAAAGGTTGAGAGGTGGGAGAGAATGTGGAAAGTGACCAAAGCAAAAGCAGAAATTTGAGCTGGCTTAATAAAACTACTGCCTTGTGAAACTGCAGTGCTTTTAACCCTGCTAAGGTCTGAATCTCGACCCTGTCTGGTACTGCTGGGTCATGGGGGATGGCTGAACGAATAACGCTCGTCTTTCTTCCTCTCCTCTCTTCTTGGGCAGTCTTCAGCCTGGCCTGGCAGAACACGCTCAGGGAGATGGCCAGGAAGCTGAGGAGCTCTTGCATAAAAAGCAACGACTGAACATGGTTTCTGCATCTGATGGAACGTGTGTAGCAGCTCGCACTCGCCCAGTACTGAGCTGTAAGAAGCGACGGCTTGTTCGACCTAGCAGCATTATGCCCCTTTCCAAAAAGGTTAGTACTGTCCTTTTTTTCTTTTTCTCCTTTGCTGCATAGCAAAAGGTCCTGGTAAGCTCCTGATGTGTTGGCCCACTGCTTTTACTATTTACACGAAGAGGAGAAGCTCTTAATTGATGGAGACTTCTGTTAGCTGTCACTGTGGAAGGGAGAATGCTGAATTCTGACATGAGGCCTTCTTTTCTAAAACCAACCAGCCTAAGGTAAATCTGCAGGCTGGGTAGTTTAATGTGGTAAAGCCTCAGCAGTTAAGTGAACCTGTGGAAAGTCAGGTATCAGGAAACCTTCACCCTGAGCACAGGAATTAACACAGACCAAGAACTTGTTGCTGCTTGCTTCAAGGAAAACTGCAGCTGTCTGCCCAGGTGTACAGGGGATGTCTTGCAAAAGGCCTGCAGAAGTGACCCTGCTCCCTTCTGCTACTTACCGTTTGGAAATCACTGAATGTTGTGATTCTGTTCCTTTCCTTATTTTTTTTTTTTAATTTTGTACTCTTCTCTGCATAGTCCTCCCTTGCCCATATGCAGGATTCAGTTCAGTGGAAATGCAGTTTATTCCCTGAGCACCCTGTGTGAGGAGAGGCCATGCTTCATTCATTTTTGACCTCCCCTAGGAATGCCATAAACTGTCAGTTGGAGGATAGATGGTAAGAAATTGAGGGAATAAGGACATTTTTCTGTGCATTTGTGCTCTTATGATTGCAGAACCATAGATGGCTCAAATTCACTTACCTTTGAGTCAGTGTTTCAAGTCAAACTTCATTACCACGAGGTTTCAGGGGGTTTCACTCTGCAGGAGCTAGAGTTTAAAAAGAGAAAGCCCAAAAAGCATCCTTCTGCTGAGCAAAACAGATTCTTGGCCAGCTGAGTTAGCTTAAAACAGCAAAAGATGAACCAGTTAACCTGGGGTATTTCTGGTGGACCTCTGCAGTGACTGCTTGTGAGATTTTCAGTGTTTTGAAGCTGACAAGCTATCTACTATCCCATAGGTAGTGCTGACTGTGCACTTGCTGTTCGAGGAAGGTCTGTTAATTCTGAGTTAGCTCTTGACTGCATTCATCTACTACATCTGATAATCAGAGCTGGTTCAGAAGAGCAGCTCCAAGGAGTGGAAGAAGTGCTAGGTAGCAAAGGATTTGTGTGGGCTCTTCCAGATATTCAAGAGAAGATATTCTTCAAGTGAGGAGATGGCTTGTAGAAAAGAAGAGAGGCTTAAAGGGGAGAGGCTCAGTAGCCTGCATGGATTGGGAACGAGATCAGTCTTGTGGAACAGGACTGGATAAAGATATTACCAGTAGTCCAAATCCTGGTGTAAACTGGTCAGCTCCACGCCTCGTTCCAGCAATTTTCCTGATAGTTTGCAAATTATTGTGGTAATTCTTAATGTCGTCATCTGTGCACTACACAAACCCAGGCCACTCTGTTCCTCCACACAGGACGTGGCTCTTGGATCTTTTTGTCTTTTTGTTGTTGTTTTTCTTCTGGTTTCCCTCCATTTGGTGCATGCATTTCGTGAAATGTGCACCCAGAACTGGGCGCAGCCCTCCAGCTCGCCCATGAGTAACGCCGAGCAGAGAGGCAGGATTACCTCACTCGCAGAACCATCCTGTTTGTAAAGCCCCGTGGGGTGTTAATTCTCAGTAATGGTACGACACTGCTGATTCATGCTCGTTTTCTGATCCATAACCACCACGAGCTCCTCTGGGCAGAGCTGCTGCTCGCTTGGCTCTTCTTCCTCGTCACGGGTCGCTGCAGTGCCTGCCTGGTGCTTTTGCCCGTAGTGAGTTGGGTTTGATTTATTTGAGATCACTTCTCTAATTTGTAACCGTGCCTGGGATTGCAGCTCTTTCCTTCAAGGTGCTCGCAGCCCTTCAGAGCCTTCAGGATATTCTCTCTTCCATCATTCAAGTCATTAGTGGAAATTATTTGAATAATGCTAGACTCAGACCGGGCTTTTACAGGATCCAATTTGAAGCATCCTTACATTCTGACAGGGACTCATTGGTTACTGTCTCTGTATGGGTTTTACATCCAGTTGTGCATCCGTGCCATGGTGGTTTCATGGAAAGGAAGTCTGAGGTCTATAAATCTGAATTGGAAGTCTGTCCTGGTTAAAAAACAAGAGGAAAAGCTCCTCACTCTGTAAAGACATCCCTGTAGGTGCCAGCTCTTGGCGTAACGATGGCTCTCTGACTTGTCTGAACTAGAAAAAGGCGTTTTTCCTCCCTGACAATGAAATTGTGCTGCCTCATGGTTTTCTAAATGAGTTCTTCAACATAGATAAACTCTTTTAGTCAAACCTACTAGATGTTCAGCTGTGCAGGAGAGTTGTAGTTCTCAGGTTTGTTGACATGAGGTGAAAGGGTCCGTCCGAGTCTGGGCTAAGCCAGTGGGTTTTCTGCAGGGTGTTACAAAAAACCTTGAGCCTTGAGGACTTTTTTCATGAGCTGTCAAGGGGGAACGTGTGAACAGAGCCCTTAGAAACATGACCTCTGATAGTCTGAATTCCTGTCCCCTTCCCAGGTCCACCGTAACAGCCTGGTGCGATGTAGCTGCGACGTGAACCCCTCATGCGCTCTGTGCGGCACCCGGAGCTCGACGACTCTGGAAATCCAGTACGATGCCCCTCTGCTGGAGCGCCTCTCCCAGCTGGACTCCTGCATCCATCCTGTTCTATCATTCCCAGATGGTAAGCACGGCACCCACAGGACAACCAGGGCCCGAAATGGGAGACGTGGGATGTGCAGGGCTTCACCCTGAGGAATCGCAGAGCTGCTGGGCGCTGTTAAGACCGAGCTCCTTCGTCTGCAAGTGGTTTTAGGGGCAGAGCGCTTACTGGAGCCTGCGAGTCCACGCTGGGACCTGGCCCTCAGGCTGGTGTCATTACAAACCAGTTGAGAAATATTGGCTTCTGCAGAATTTATTCATCTGTGTAAAATTACTTGTGGATTGGTTGAAGTCACAGAAAACTTCTTTGACCTTGTATGGAATTGTAAATGAGCTGAGCTGGGTCAGAGGGTACAAGAAGGGATGTTCCCATTAGGATGCTCATTTCCCTGTGTTCTGGTTTCAAGGTTAGTCATCGTTAAGAGGAGTAATTCACCACCCCTGGCTGTGGGGCATTCACACTCGGTGCGCTGTGGTAGTTGTAGTTTCCAGAGTCTTCTGCTTCCTAAGCTCCCGACTTAAAAACAAGCTGCTGCTTTGACCAAAAACAACTGCCCTGCAGGAAATTGGTGTCCTCCTGTCATCTTTTCCCTCTGATCCCAGAATACAGGGCTGCAAACTGGCACTTCTATCAGGAGAGCCAGGAATTAAACGTCACAGCAGTCGCTTTGCTTGCTAGGAGAGGCTCGGGGTGTAAGACACCGCTGGCACCGCACGGAGGGAGCTGCACGCTCCTGCTGCTGGTGATGAGAAGTGCTTGGTCTGGGTTAAGACATGGGGCTGGTGTGCGCAGAGCTAAATTCCAGCTTTGTGCAAACTTTGTGCAACAGTAGGAAATGCATGGCATGTCTGGGAACAATTAATCTGGCATCTTTCAGGAGCCCTGTGTTTAAAGCAGACTTAAAAAAACAAATTTGGGCTATTTTTAAAAACTAAATCCCCACCCATCCTTAAGAAACATCCCTGTGTTCAGGAATGCTACAGGAATTGAATGTGCTGACCTCCTGCGGCGCAGCACCGGTAATCCTCTGCCTGGAGTGCTGGATGTGACACCCCGCGGGGCGGCGAGCAGCCCTGTTACAAACCATTGCATCACGGCCACCAGCAGAGCCTCATCCATTTTATTAGGGTCAGCCACAGCCAGCTCACATGATGAAAGATCTCTTCTGGCTTCATGCATGAGATTAAAAACTTTGTGTTTAAAACTAGGGTGTTTAAAGCTTCAGGGGTCTGCACAGAAGCACCTCCTCTGCCCCCCACCCGGAGCCGGGGATGGAGTCACTTGGATTATTCCCTAGTGCCTCGTAGAGTTTTGCTAGGGTTGCTTTTTGGGGCTGGGGGTACCTTCCCAGTGAGGCATACAGCAAGGCAGGGGAAGCGCTCAGCCTGAAGTTGTCCCCCTGCCAAGTGGCAGCACCGTTTGCTGCCGGCGCTCCCGCCTGCTGGATTTTGGGGGCTCACCCGGAGAGCAATCGGTCCGACGAGCTGGGAGCATGTGCTGCCTTTTGCTTTGAGCCCATGTCCCTGGGGCTCCTCCAGCAGCCAGGGCTCTCCGGTGCAGTTTGCCAAGGGCAAAACCTCCGGGAGCACTGCAGGAGGAAAAAGCTCCTTTCATTCTCCTGGCGGGCAGGCGGGCGGGGAGGCTCGGTGCCTTTTAACCCGCTCTGCGAGCGCTTTTTCCCCTTCCCTTTGCTTTTTTTTTTTTTTTTTTTTTTTTTTTTCTCTCTGCTTCGGCTGATTTCTAGCTGGGAATTTTCAGATGATGTAATAACCTTGGTGGGAAGGATGGGAGCCGCGGCGCGCGGGCTCGGCGCGGTTGCCATCTGCCGGTCCTTGGGCAGGCTGCAGCGCGCTGCAGGAGGAGCGGCGCCGGCGCTGCGCGGGCTCCGCTGCAACCAGCACTGGCGGCAGGGCAGAGGAGAAAAACACGGCAGATTACTTGTTTTTCTGCTCGCCACGCTTTGCCTTCCTTTTTCTCCTCCCTCCCAACCTGGCCCGTCCTTCCACCAACATGTGAGCTGCTGTGGAGGGAGTGAATTTCCAGGAGAAAGCAAAAGGTTGGCAAAGAGGCCATTTTCCCAAAGGCTGCAGCATCCTGCTCTGGAACCTTGCTGGCTGCATAATCAGAGGGTTTGAGCCCTCTCTTCTCTTCGGGACGTGTCTCTGCACACAGCGGCGGTGGCCAAAGAGCTGCCGTCACACCGTGATCACCTCTCCTTCCCAAACAGATGGGGCCAAACCAGAGCTGTAGCTGTCAAAGCCTGTTAAACGCAGCTGTCCTGGCTTTTTCCTGAGGGTCAGGTTCCCCCTATTAATAACAGCGGGCTCCAGCCCGAGCTCTGCCAGCTCCCGCTGTCCTGTTTGCCTGTCCCAGCTCTGCTGGGGCTTTCCAGTCCCTGGACCTATTGGGAAATGGTGAAGGGGTTCAAATATCAGCCATCGAGCCTATCGGCAGGGCTTCAATCCCTTCAGGTTGCCCTCTGAGGTTATCGAGATGGAGTTCCCAAATCGCAGGGCAGCTCGTGGGCACTGCCGTGTCCCCTCTGTAGGCCTTGCAGGGAGCTTTATTCCTGCTGCGGGGCCTGGGAAGGTTCATCTCTGAGCAAGATTGCTTCAAAATCCCCATGAAAATGTTGCGTTGAGACCTAGGGGAGGGATGTTTTACTGCTCGTGCTCATCTTCGTGCTTCTTGCTCCTGGTTTCAGCAGCCGGAGCCAGCACTGAGCTGTCAGGACAGCTCAGAAGGAGAGCGATGGGTGGGATGCCAAACCTCGTGCTGATATACAGAGATCTTAGGGGTGGTTGGAGAAGATAAGAGAACTACCGAGATGTGAATTTGTTAACCTGAAAGGTTTTAATGCTTTTCCAGGCTGGGATTTTGGCCCCTGGGCGCACAGAAGAGAGCTGGGGCCCGGCAGAGGGATGCACAACACCAGCGTTTGGTGATCAGATGGGAGGTTTGAAGCTCTGGGTGTGAAAGGAAGGTTTATTTGTGGCACTCCTGAGGCTGAGGGAGCCTCTTGGTCCACCTAGTGGTGTTTGTAGACTTCCGTACGGCTCAGGCTATCCGCCCAAGCACAGCACTGAATAATCTCATTAGCTCCCATCCTTCAGCTAAGGTCAGCGGCGCACATGTGCGTGGGATTGGGGTGAAACGAAGCCTGAGAAATGTGGGCAGAAGCAGCAGTCTGCCGGCTGCACAGCACATGCTGGCTGTGAGCAGGCAGGACGACGTGGGGCCAGGTGCTCGGGGTGCTGGGCAAGAGGATTAGGGGCAAAGAGGGGGCCGTGGGGGTGTGCTGAGGATGAGTGGAGCCTGCTGTGCTCGTGGGTGGCTGAGTGACCCAGCCCCTGCCTGGGGAGAGCCCCGGCGTGGCTGCCTTCACCCGGAGCCTCCGGAGTGTCCTGGCGTAGCGCAGCCTTCGTTAGGTGGTTCAGATGTCCCATCAGGCAGATTAACTTCACACAGCGCTCGGTTGGCTTTGGGGCTGACCTGAAATGGAGGATTTAAGCTGAATTCCTCTCTTCCAGCCTGTACTTCTCTAGATTTGATGTGCTGAGATAACTGGGCTTCTTGGAAGTCAGATCTGAGATAGCAGAACAAAACGTGGGCACACGAGGTGCCTGCTAGTGGTGGAGACACGTGGCTCTCCTGACAAAGGTCTCGTTCCCCTGCCAGGATGTACTTGGGCTGTGAAGGCTGCAATAACGTGCTCCTCTCCAAGAGCTGCAGGTTGGAAAAGCTGGGTCCTAACGTTGCAGGTCCTCCGTGAGCCCGAGGAAGGCAGACCCGGGCTGTGCAGCGAAAGCCTGCTGTGTTTTTTGGGGACTGGGGGGCAGTGGTGGTGTTTCTGGGGCATCATTCGGCTAACGTGAGCGCCATGTTTTGTGTTTCGTGTCCTCCTGCAGACGTGCCGACGAGCCTGCACTTCCAGAGCATGTTGAAATCCCAGTGGCAGAACAAACCCTACGAGAAAATCAAAGCTCCCAAAAAGCTCTCGCTCAAGCACAGAGCCCCCATGCCTACCAGCAGCCTGTCCGACCCTATTCGCAAGGACCGCCACAAGCTGGTGAACTCCTTCTTCACTGCAGCCAGTAAGTGGCCCCCTCCTCGTCCCCGCCGCGTGCACAAACACCGCCCTGGTCTCGTACCCAAAAGCAGTGCAGTTTGGGAGGAGAGAGGAGGATGCCCTTCAAACGGAGCCCTTGGGGATGAGGCCAGGGCTGAAGGTGAATCCTGTGCAGGATGCTAAGGTGGTCTTGGTTCATAGGGACCCCTCCTCGCCCAGCCCGAGGCTGTGCTCACGCAGCTCTCCCAGCACGGGCAGCGCCAACGCTCAGCTCAGTGTGGCTGCCCGGGGCCGGGACGGTGCTGAGCCCGACCTGGCTGGATTCAGGGAGCTGCTCCGTCCTGCCCGAGCCTCCTGTGCCGACAGAAAGAGAGGTGAAAACTGGCGTTTCATAGCTCTTTCTCTGTTCCCCTCCTCAGAGCGCTCACATCAAAAAATCCAACCAGACAAGGCACACAGGCCGGCTTTAGACGATTTTACGGCCGTGTCCAAGGCCGAGAGAGCGCCAGAGCGCTCGCTTGTCCAGCCTCCTGCCTATGACAAAAAGCGATTGCGAGACTGCTCATCTGAGAGGAGTGAAGGTAGGCTCCCACGGCCAGGTCTCTCGGGGGGAGCTTGGGCTTTGCTGCATACCCAGCCTCTCTCTCCCCCTTCGGCCTCGGAGAAGGGGGGAACGCACTGCTTCTGGGCCTTGTCACCACCGCAGCGATGCCTCGTGTGCTCTAACTGCTTCATCCCGCAGGGCCTGGCGAGCTGGCAGCTGCGGTCAGAAGACGCTTCTCTTTCCTGCAGTGCTCCTCAGCACCGGCCATTTCTGGTGCAGACGGTCCTTCTCTCTGCCCCCAGCCCCCCGGCCTTTTGTGGCTAACATCTCCCTCTCTCTCTCTGTTTTCTCCTTCCCTCCCCGTGCAGTGTTGAAGCATCACGCGGACGTCGGTGGCCCGAGCTACTTGTCGGCGGCTGCGACCCCTGCCCCTCACAGCCCTATCGCACGGCAACTGTCCACCTCCTCGGAAGGCTCTGCCCCTGCCAGCACGAGCTCACAGGGCACCTCCAACGCAGCCGTAAGTATCTGCTGCCCATCTGGAGGGGCTTCTGAGCTCCTCTCCACCACGGCGTGGCTCAGCCTTCGAGCTCTTCCACCTAGACTTGAGGGCTCGGTGTTCCTCTGACCTCGCTGGACCCGCTGCTTCAGGCTGATGGTGGGATCGCCGGCCCTTTTTCTGCTCTGGCTTTGGGTTTGCTGCGTTTCTGGATTGACTTTGGCTGTGCAGAGAGCCAGTCAGCTGCAATTAGAGGTTCACTGCTAGTTCAGTAGCTGCTGGTAAATGTTCCTGTTCCCAGTAGTTCCCTGGCTTTGCTCCACATCCGGATTTTGGTTTCTGAAGTTGTCTGTGGATGCCAGGAAAAAAAAGAGTAGAAGAGCTGAGCACCAGCAGCGTGTTGCTGCTGCTCCAGCAGTGCTTCCACTGCGATGTCTTCCCCTTCACGGCCTGTTCTGTGTGTGCTGGGTTGGAAATGGGGCTGGGGCAGAGCAGTGCTGGCTGGGACCTCAGCTTGCACTTGGACACGGGTTTCAGCAGTTGCTTAACTCATATTGCCCTCTGAGATCTGCTCAGCCTCCCAGAAGGATGACAGGATTTGGGACCTTCATGGAGCGGTGCCTGAAAGTCAGCAGTGAGCAGGACCCCAGCTCCATCCTGCTCTGAGCTCTGAAGGTGGCCCAGGGAAGCCCCTGGCCCCTCACTGTGGTGCAGCCCAGGCTGGGCGTGGGGCGGGTGGGAGGCGTCTGTCCCTGCTGGCTCAGAGCCCACCGCGTGCCCCGGTCCTTGCTCCGAGCTCCGCCAGCTCCCAGCTGGGTTCCTGCCCAACACACGTTTGCTGTTGCGTCATCAGCTGTGTCATCAATGATGCCAGCTCGGGGTGGCCGAAGAACCCAGCCAGCAATGGTAGCATTTGCTAGAATGCTCTGGGTGTTTTGGGAAGGGGACAGCTCTTCCCAGCAGCTGTAGTGTCTCAGGATGCCACCTCTCTCTGCTTCGTGTGCTTCTTTTGGGCTTGCTTTTCCTCTTCTCTTGCTGCTTTTTCATAAACCCCTTCTGAAAAGCGAGGTTGCTGAGCGGTGCTGACAGCCTCCCAGCTGAAATGATGCCCTCAAAAATGTCCACTGAAGGGCGAGGGGAAGCCCTGCCAGGTATCCCTGCGCCACCCCTCACTGCCCGAGCGGACTGGGCAGGTCGTTAACGGTGCATCCTGGCAGCTGGTTCCTAAAACTCCTTTCCTTCCTTGCCGAGACTCTTCTCGGTTCGTAGCACTGGCAGATTTTGATTCTGTAGTATAGATTGGAGAATTAAACAAATGTGGTAAGCAGAATCTATATTTGTTTTGGAGAAATGGTTGTTGGTGGGTGTTTTTTTTTTTGCATTCATGGCTGTGCCTGTTCGTGTTGAAATTAGGATTTATAAAGTCTGTCTCTTGCAGCCTGCAGACGAGCTGAGGCTGCAGCTTTGACTTACAGGCTTCCCCATTCAATCTCAGTGGAGTGTCGATTCTGAAAACAGATGACAAATCCAACAAATCTGCTGATCACCAAAGTCCAGCAACTCTTCCCGGTCCCAGAAAGCCTCCTGTGCTCTTCCAAAAGCCCGAAGCTATCGGTGTATGCATGAGTTACTCTAGGGCAGGCCAAGGTTTGGGTCTGGTTTAATGGTTTTGCAGTAACTACCAGCATGCAGAACCTTGCCATGAAATCAGTGCCCCCAGAGTTGTTCCTTAGGGGAGGTGGAACGAGCTGGATTGAACGGGGAGCTGTGTGTGTGAGAGGTGCAGCGTGCTGCACCCTGCCTCTCCGTGGGGCAGCGGGGCTGTGCAGTCTTGCCCGTAGTCTTCATTTTCTTCTGTGGTTCCCCAGCATATTCTGCTTCAGAAATGCTGCTCTTTGTTGTGTTTTACCAAATCCGATACAAATTTGATTGAGGCAGCTCAGCGAAGTGCTGTCAGCGAGTGTGGGCTGAGCTCCGAGCGTAATACAGGAACACTGCTGCTTGGGGACACAAAGGCATCTGGTCATAGGATTCCACATGGGGAAGGGCTGCTGTTCTTCTCAGATCAGGGAACAGATGTAAAAAAGGACGTCCTCGCCCCATCTGGGTGTGCTGTGACCCTACCAGAGCCCCCCCGTGCAGCACAGCCTGCCTGGCCTGCTGGGTGCACCCAGCTTTGGGCTTTGGCTCCCAGGGGCTGTGCGCACAGCTCAGAGCACCCCCAAATACCACCCGAAAACCAGGAACATGCTGAAAAACAGGGCGAGGAACCTGAACCAGGGCGATGGCTGCTGCCCACCCATTTGAATCCTCATCCAGCACCCACAGCGGGTCCCTTGCACTTGAGCTCCCATGTGGTTTTGTCCAAAAAGCCACAGGGATCAGAGGGGGCACAGGTAAGGTGCAGGTGGCTTCGTCAGGGAGGCAGCACCCCGAGCTGATGGGGAAGGTTCGTGTCGCTGTGCCGGCAGCGCTGCTGTCACAGGTCTGGGGGAGGTTTTGGGATAGACAGATGGTAGGAGGGCACCCAGCGTTCAGCCCGGTTTAAATAGCTAAGTGTGTAGCTTATTTCTGTCTTGGAAAAGCTATTCCAGTCAGAAGTACGATGCAGATGGAAGCTGTTAGGTTCTCGGTACAGCTGTCAAAACCCGAGATGAACTGCTGCTGTCTGCCTGCTTCCCATTCCTGCTTTGCCACAGCATCTCCTGGCAGGTCCCTGCAGTGCCCCGAGGAACGGGGCTGTGGTCCAGACGCGTGGTCCTTCCCTCTGCCCCCGTGGTCTCACTGCCCCCTTTGCACAGGCAGGAGGGAATAGGATTGTATCAAAGCAGTAAGATCGTAGTAAAGGAGACCTTGCTTCATCTTTTGCTGGCTTGGCTTTTCAGCCGGATCAATGTCGTGGTGGCAGCAGGGTGGAGATGGTGGCTGGAGCTCAGCAGCCCCTGCTCACCTCGCTGCAGTGCCCGCGGGGCCACCGCAGCCTCGTCCTTGTTCGTGCCTTCCAAACCAAGGGCTTTGGTCACCCTGTGCCCATGGGGAAGGAGGGCTTCCAGCAGGCGGTAGGCAAATTCTGTTCCCACACAAATTGCTCTTGGCTTTGGGGTCTGTCGGTCACACGAGACCACGTCCCGTGAGGCCACGTCCGTTTTGTGTCCATGGTTTAACGCGGCGAAACCTGCAGCCTTCTCTCACGTTGTTCTTGTCCTTTCGTTCCAGCAGCCAAGGAGGAGGAGAGGGGAGAGCTCCTTCGATATTAACAACATTGTCATCCCCATGTCTGTCGCTGCAACAACACGCGTGGAGAAGCTGCAGTACAAAGAGATCCTCACACCCAGGTACGTGCCCCAGCCCCAGCTCAGGGGGTCTGCCTGCTTTCACCACGCAGCTCTCAGGCCTCAAATTAAGCCTAGGGCTTGCTCCAGTGGCTGGTGAGGAAAGGGGCTTCCTTCCTCCTTGAGAGGAAGAGAAAATTTGGAAAACTTTGGCTCATTTCACTGAAGCAGACTTTGGGCTGAGGTAGGGCTGCGTTGTCTCAGCGTCCATGGTGCAGGAAAGCCGCCTGCGCTGCTCACATCTCCCCAAACAACCCAAGGTCATTCTGGTTGTTTTCTTTCCCTCTACAAAGCTCCTGATTGCAGTGAGCTGAAGGTCCGGGTGCTTCCTGGTGCTTTCCATGCACCCGGGTGTGCCCAGGCCCCCTGGGGTTGGGGGGGCTGATGCTGAGGGTGGCTGTGGCCAGGAGCAGAGGCAGCCGTGGGAACTGGGAGTCTGTGCCCGAGCTGAGTGCGAGGAGGTGAGCTGTCAGCCCCTGCTCAGATGATCTTGAATGAAGCCTGTTGCTGGGCCAGAGGAAGAGGAGGAAACGCTGCAGCATCTGCTCTGCTTCCTCTGCCCCCGCAGGCTCCGGCCACGCTGCCAGAGCAGCGCCAGGAGCTGGGCAGGGGCAGCGAGGAGGGGCTGCAGCGGGAGCGCGCCAGGAGCAGCGTTGCCCATGGCTCAGCCCACTGAAGAAGGACGGTTAGTGGACGGAGCAGGAGTGCAAGTAGTTTTTTCGTCCGTCCCTACGTTGACAGGGAGGGGTACGGAGAGGACAACGAAAGCCCACCTGTTAAACACGTGGCTCCGGGGCTGGTGCCTACGCAGAAATCTTGGGTTTTTCGACCATGGGGCAGTTTACTCAGCACCTGGTCTGGTGGCCGTAGACGGGTCCCTATCCTTTAGGGGAAAAAGGATCCTTGGCCAGGAGCTGGCGGGGCTCATTGATAGGGCTTTAAACTAGGTAAGAAGGGGGATGGGGCTGGAGCGAGGACTGTTGGGGCTGTACCAGGGGGAGCAGTGGCAAGGCCGGAGGATAAGGTAAAGGCCCAGCTGAAGTGCATCTACACCAATGCACGCAGCATGGGTAACAAACAGGAGGAGCTGGAAGCCATCGTGCAGCGGGCAGGCTACGACTTGGTTGCCATCACGGAAACGTGGTGGGACCAGTCTCATGACTGGAGTGCTGCGATGCCTGGCTATAGGCTCTTCAGAAGGGACAGGCAGCATGGAAGGGGTGGCGGTGTGGCTCTCTATATTAGAGAGTCTTTCGATGTTGTAGAACTCGAGGCTAGGAATGACAAGGTCGAGTCCCTTTGGGTTAGGATCGGCAGGGACAACAAGGCTAGTGTCCTGGTCGGGGTCTGCTATAGACCGCCGAACCAGGATGAGGAGACGGATGAGGAGTTCTACAGGCAGCTGACAGAAGTTGCGAATTCGTCAGCGCTTGTACTCGTGGGGGACTTCAACTTCCCTGACATATCCTGGAAGCACAACACAGCCCAGAGGAAGCAGTCTAGGAGGTTTCTGGAGAAAGTGGAAGATAGCTTCCTGACGCAGCTGATTAGTGAACCTACCAGGGGTGGTGCCCTGCTAGACCTTCTCTTCACAAACAGAGAAGGACTGGTGGAGGATGTAATTGTCGGGAACAGTCTTGGGCAGAGTGACCACGAAATGGTGGAGTTCTCTATTCTTGGCGGGGCCAGGAAGGGAACCAGTAAAACCACTGTATTGGACTTTCGGAGGGCTGACTTTAGGCTGCTCAGGACACTGGTTGGTGGAGTCCCATGGGAGGCGGTTCTGAAGGGCAGAGGGGTTCAGGAAGGCTGGGTGCTATTCAAGAGGCAAATCCTAATGGCACAGGAGCGGTCTATCCCCATGTGCCCAAAGATGAGCCACCGGGGAAGACGACCAGCCTGGCTCAACAGAGAATTGTGGCTTGAGCTTAGGAGGAAAAAGAGGGTTTATAATCTTTGGAAAATTGGGCAGGCCACTAGGGAGGACTATAAGGATGTAGCGAGGCTGTGCAGGGACAAAATTAGGAAGGCCAAAGCTCATCTGGAGCTCAAGCTGGCTACTGCCATTAAAGATAACAAAAAACGCTTTTATAAATACATCAACACAAAAAGGAGGACTAAGGAGAATCTCCATCCTTTACTGGATGCGGGGGGAAACTTAGTTACAAGAGATGAGGAAAAGGCGGAGGTGCTCAATGCCTTCTTTGCCTCAGTCTTTAGTGGTAAAACCGGTTGCTCTCTGGATATCCAGTACCCAGAACTGGTGGGAGGGGACGGGGAGCAGGATGTGGCCCTCACCATCCACGAAGAACTGGTTGGTGACCTGCTACGGCACTTGGATGTGCACAAGTCGATGGGGCCGGATGGGATCCACCCAAGAGTACTGAGAGAACTGGCAGAGGAGCTGGCCAAGCCCCTATCCATCATTTATCAGCAGTCCTGGCTATCGGGGGAGGTCCCAGCTGACTGGCGGCTAGCAAACGTGATGCCCATCTACAAGAAGGGCCGGAGGGCAGACCCGGGAAACTACAGGCCGGTCAGTTTGACCTCAGTACCAGGGAAGCTCATGGAGCAGATCCTCTTGGGAGTCATCATGCGGCACTTGAAGGGCAAGCAGGCGATCAGGCCCAGTCAGCATGGGTTTATGGAAGGCAGATCCTGCTTGACGAACCTGATCTCCTTCTACGACAAAGTGACGCGCTGGGTGGACGAGGGAAAGGCTGTGGATGTGGTCTACCTTGACTTCAGCAAGGCTTTTGACACCGTTTCCCACAGCATTCTCCTCAAGAAACTGGCTGCTCTTGGCTTGGACTGGCGCACGCTTCGTTGGGTTAGAAACTGGCTTGATAGCCGGGCCCAGAGAGTTGTGGTAAATGGAGCCAAGTCCAGTTGGAGGCCAGTCACTAGTGGCGTCCCCCAGGGCTCGGTGCTGGGGCCGGTCCTCTTTAACATCTTCATCAATGATCTGGATGAGGGCATTGAGTGCACCCTCAGTAAGTTTGCAGATGACACCAAGCTAGGTGCGTGTGTCGATCTGCTTGAGGGTAGGAAGGCTCTGCAGGAGGATCTGGATAGGCTGCACCGATGGGCTGAGGTCAACTGTATGAAGTTTAACAAGGCCAAGTGCCGGGTCCTGCACCTGGGGCGCAATAACCCCAAGCAGAGCTACAGGCTGGGAGAGGAATGGCTGGAGAGCTGCCAGGCAGAGAAGGACCTGGGAGTGATGGTGGACAGTCGGCTGAATATGAGCCAGCAGTGTGCTCAGGTGGCCAAGAAGGCCAACGGCATCCTGGCTTGTATCAGAAACACTGTGACCAGCAGGGCTAGGGAGGTGATCGTCCCCCTGTACTCGGCTCTGGTGAGGCCGCACCTCGAGTACTGTGTTCAGTTCTGGGCCCCTCGCTACAAGAAGGACATCGAGGTGCTTGAGCGGGTCCAGAGAAGGGCGACGAAGCTGGTGAGGGGCCTGGAGAACAAGTCCTATGAGGAGCGGCTGAAGGAGCTGGGCTTGTTCAGCCTAGAGAAGAGGAGGCTCAGGGGTGACCTTATCACTCTGTATAAGTATATTAAAGGAGGCTCTAGCGAGATGGGGGTTGGCCTGTTCTCCCATGTGCCTGGTGACAGGACGAGGGGGAATGGGCTAAAGTTGCGCCAGGGGAGTTTTAGGTTAGATGTTAGGAAGAATTTCTTTACTGAAAGGGTTGTGAGGCACTGGAATGGGCTGCCCAGGGAGGTGGTTGAGTCACCATCCCTGGAAGTCTTCAAAAGACGTTTAGATGTAGAGCTTAGGGATATGGTTTAGTGGGGACTGTTAGTGTTAGGTCAGAGGTTGGACTCGATGATCTTGAGGTCTCTTCCAACCTAGAGATTCTGTGATTCTGTGATTCTGTGAAATCTCCTGCGTGGGCACTCAGTGTGCACAAACCGCCCCCTTCCTATGGAAAAACTTGCTCAGAATGGGTCAGGCGAACGCAGGAAATGGAGAAACTGTTGTCTGGTACCATGGGGGGTGGATTTGGGTAGATAAATGTGGCTAAAGCTGAGCCCGGATGTGTTTCTCGTTGTGCCAGGGTTGTGTTTCTTCTCCCACAGAAGGTTGTGGGGGGTGTTCTGGGCACGTGCTCAGCCGTGCCCGTGCCTGACTGCGGTCTGACGGTCTGACTTTGTGTGTTGCAGCTGGCGTGAAGTGGATATCGGCGCTCTGAAGGCGAGCCCTGATGAAGACAACGAGGAGGTGAGAGCTGCTTTGTGTCCCCCTTAGCTCGGGATGGGGTTGATGGCAGCTAACGGAGTCGGTGGTGGATACTGGAAGGGTACAGACACAGGGACTGCAGCAGAGGTGCAATCTTTTCCTTTTTGGCAACAAAAGGGCAGAACTAACTTTGCAGGAGCCATTCTGGTGCCGGTTTCTTTTTGGAAACAGAGTGATAGGGCAGAACTTGGATTAGCTGACTGGGCACAGCTCAATTTGAGGTCTGATTGCTGTCAGGAGACCTTTCTGGGCAGCAATCTTTTATAGAGATAGACTAATCAAGAAATCATGACCAGTCATGCTGCTGTAGGTATTATTTTAGCTAAACTGCTATGATGGCATTTCCTTAAACCTCTGTGTGAGCGCACTCACTCTGGGATGAATGGCTTTCCTTTGGTTTTTAGTTCTTAATCCCTTCCTTAGCAATGCAGGCTGAGTTTAACAAGGTGCTTGCTCGCTCACTGAGGCACCTGCCTCCCTCCAGACATGAACATTTACTTAAACCCATGCTGTAGCTAACGCTGGAAGAACTGCACGTAGCTGTGTGTTTAACGTTAAGAAAAGCCCTGACCAAGCCCTGTACCATTCCCTTTCCAGATCGAGGACTTGTCTGATTCGGCCTTCGCTGCTCGGCATGGCAAATGCGAGGAGATGGAGCGGGCCCGGTGGCTTTGGAGCACGAGCATGCCCCCGCAGCGGCGGGGCAGCAGGTACGCTGTCGGCTCGATGTCCCTGCAGGGCACGGGTGTCCCGGGGTCAGCAGCGCTCGGGCAGAGGGCGCAGTGTGCTTCCCTCGGCCCAGGCGTTGTTCACAACAGATCTGGCTTTGTTAAACTGGCTGGTGGATAAAAATGGTTGGATGTTTGTGCTGGCATCGGGAAGGTTGCTTCCATCTACAAGAGCAGCTTGAGGAGCCCCTGCAGGAGTGGGACAGGGTCTGGCTCAGCCCGGGGGTAACTTAACCACCGGAGAAGTTGCAGACGAGCAGCTCTTGCACTCTGGGTTTGGATTCTGAGAAAAACAAAAGGGCTGAGCTGGGCATCCTTAAACAGGAACACGGAGCAGTTGTGCTGAGCGTTGTGCTGCGGATCGCATCGCTGCTCGATAGCTTCAGCAGTGCTGCTTTGGTGTTCCATTTACACGTGTCCTTCCGTTCCTCTCATCACTTGACACTTGGTTCCTGTGCTGCAGCCTCTTTTTGTGAGTGGGTGTCTAAAGCTGCACGCAGTTTGCAGCTGTGGCTCCCTTCTTACACAGCTTTATGATGAGATTGGCTCCTCTCCGTTTGGTTTCTGATGCCTTGGCCTCGCACCACTCTGCTCTTGGGCAGAAATTCTTGCCGAAGTGCAACTGCAACGTGCACTGGCCTCCTTGGTCTAGTTGTGGTTTCACATCAGCCCTGTCGGGGGGGTGTGGTCGTGCAGGACTTCACCAAAGGTTGCATCTGTCAAGCTCCATTTCTGCTGCTGCTGCACTTCATCTGCAGCTGCATTTCCTGGAGCTGGTTGAGCGTGGGACATTTTGGTGTTTGTCTGCAAGCTTCTTCAGCTAGTTTCTCACATCTGTTAGTACTTCACCCTACCTTTTCTCTTCTCTAAAAACCCCTTGTAGGGGGGTGTTGGTGCAAGATGGTGCCCTGACTGGGTCACTGACATAAATTCATGGTGTGGGTGTAGAAATGCTGGTGAAAAGGGACCTCTGGAGGTCTCTGGTCCAGCCTCCGGCTTGAAGCAGGGCTGAAGATCAGGTTGGCCGTGGCTTTGGCTAACGCAGTGTGAATGCTTCTGAGGATGGAAGTTCCCCCACCTCCGTGGTGGCTGGAGCAGGGCTGTGCTCACTTGGGAAGCAGGTTTTGCTGCTGCTACGGGAGGCAGCAGTTGGATCCTGCTTTCACGTCTCTGCCAGATCGAGCCAGTCCAGCTCCCTCTGCTTCCCGTGCCCATCCTGGGACCCTGCAGGGTGGGATGGGGATGTAGGTGCCCCTGCTCCACTGGCCACGTTCCTCGGTGCAGCCGAGGATGTGGTTTGCCGTGTTTGTGGTGAGTTGTGCTGAGCTCAGCTTGGCGTTCACCACATCCCGAGCTGCTCCTCGGCAGGATCCTTGCTTGGTCCTCCGTGGCCAGCCTGGGCTGATGCTGGGGCTGTTTGCTGCGGCTGCTTTGGTCCTTAGAAACTGCTGGGGGCCTCCTCCTCACGGCCCAGGAACTGCTGCTGTGCTTCGGCCAGTTCTTGCTCCTCGCCTGTGGCCTCGTGGGCCAGGTAACAGCAGTACAGATCGGGGTGAAGTCGGTTTTCTCTGAAATATCATTCTCTGAAGTGACCTGCCCCAGCAGATCTGCTGAGCGTCTTGTGGTCTTCCTGCCTCGTGTACGTAACAGACCGTTTTGTTTTGTTTTCTTTGTGTAGCAGCTTCTAATGGCATCTTGACTCAGCACATCGTGCTCCATATAGCCTGCTGCAGGCGTGGTTAGTGCAGTTTAGGCTGGGTTTGTGTGTTCTGATGAACATCATAGCCCAGGTAAATTTTGGAATATGATCCTTGGCCATCCTTGATTCATCCACTTGCTGCTGGAATTCATCTTGATAAGATACCCACAGATAGGGAGGCGTGAGATGGGCTTTTCCGTTTGCAGCCTTTGGGTCTCTTATCAGGGAATCTGTGTGGCTGCTCGAGCTTCCTTAATTCTTGGTTTAAATCTGCTGAAGTCGAGGGCTTTCACTGTGCTCCTCCCGTGCTGAATGTTGAATTTGGTGCGGTTTCAGCGTTACCGATTCACTACAGTTGGTTCTTGGACTATCTGTGAGGTGTCAGGTGGCGTCTGGATGATGTTGGGAACACTTGGAGGGGCTGCTAAAAAAAATCTGATTTCATAGGGGCCTTCTCATGGTGGCATTTAGGCAGCACTCATGAAGTAGGAGCCGTGTGGGACAAGTTTCCTTGGCAGAGCAGTGTCAGTGCTGCAGTGCCGCATCGAGGCAGTGGAGATGGGCACGGGTGGGCCTGGAGGAGTCAACCTCGGGGCTGCGACATCCCCTCTCGGTGCACGCACCCAATTCCTGCAGCGCTCCCCATTGCATGGGCCCTCCCGAGGTGGGGATGGTGGAAGGGACCAAAGGGTGGCATCGGGTGGCAGAGAGCGGTCTGGGCGCCCGGAACGGGACCGAAATCAGACTCTGGGATCTGTTCCTCCCTCAGGTCCTACAGATCGACAGACGGACGGACGACCCCCCAGCTGGGGAACCCCTCGACTCCCCAGCCGGCATCCCCCGACGTGGGCAGCTGCCACTCCCACTCGGAGCTGTCCCACACCCACTCCCCGCGCAGCCCCATCAGCCCCGAACTGCTCTCAGCCCCCCTCACGCCCCTGTCCCGCGACTCCATGCGGCTTCTGTCCAGCGAGGACACGCGCTGCTCCACGCCCGAGGCCGGCCTCGACGAGCAGGTGGGTGCAGGTCCCGGCCGCGGCTGCTGGCGCTAGCGCCGCGCTGCTCACGGCGTCGCTGCAGCGACCGCTGCAGAGGCGTGGAGCTAAATCGGGTGCTCAGACTTGGCTGGTTAATTCCCCTCGCTGGGGGGCAACAGCTTGGAAAGCTGCATGTGGGGAATTCGGGAGGTAGAGTCCTGTCCCGTGCTGGAACACGTCCCGCTGCCCACCGGCGGTGGGTTTGGTTTGGCGGCTGCCGCGTCTTCGCCACGGGTGCTGAAGGTCCTGCTCTCGGTGCCGCGCTAACGGGGCGACACTGAGCCCGCCCCAGAGAGCTGCCCAAATCAACCACCACTGCGGGCAGCCGGAGTCACGCACGGAGGGGGAGCAGAAGAGTTTGTGCGGAGGCTTTTCCATAGCCTGGTGTCTCTTCCCTTTAGGCCGTGCTGCCCTGGGAGCGGCGCACCTTCCCCCTGTCGTACGATCCCAGGACAGAGTGCGAGGACCAATCCGACCCCCAGGACCGGTCGTCGCGCTGCACCCGGCGCACGTCGGGCAGTAAATCCTCCCGGGAGACCGATGGCACTTCTGCTTTGCCCAACCTGGCCAGCCTCAAGAGCCGACCCCCCCTGGCGACACCCTCCTCCTCTTCCTCCGCAGCAGTTCAGCGGCCAGCGCACAGATAGAGACATACGGGAAGACATGAGCAAAACCAACACACAGAACTAACTCTTGGCATTAAAGCTTCCAAAATCTGCGTTTGATATTCAAACATCCTGCCGGGAATTTTCACAGTTTTTAGTGAATTTAAGGAGTTTAGAAACTGTTTTTTGTTTTTGTTTTTTTCCATGTTTCCTTGTCACACAAATGAGAGCCCCCAGATTCCTCCCAGCAGAGTGAAGCCTCGGGAGGGGAGCAGCCCACCAGTCCCCCTCCCTCTTTTCTCCCCTCCCCTCTTAGGTGTATAAAACTAGAGCACAGGATTTAGCTGACTAGCGGACTTCGGGGATAGTTTTTCTCAAGCAAAAGGGTGTCTTTTTCTCTTAACCCGCTCCCCCTCCCTGAAAGGTTTTAGTGGAGTGAAATTAGTGGTGAAAAAGTGATGTCTTGGGATTGCAACCTTCACTAGCTGTCTGTCTGTCCTCACGTGCAGCGTGCCCACCCTGCACCGCCACCTCCGGCGCTGCCCTCCCGCAGCTTCTGGTTCCAGGTGTCCCGGGGGGGGGGTGACAGCCCCCGACCCCCACCCCTCTGCCCCCAGCCGCCCTCCGCCGCCTCCTTCCTTCTCCTTGTCCCAGAGCAGCTGCCGGCTGTGCCGAGCCCTGGCCACTGCCTCAGCCGGGGAAAAGGAAGGAAAGGACCCTTTTAGCCGCTTGACGCACAGCTCCGCGTGGGAGGAGAGGGATTTCGGGCACAGCCCCGTTCACACCTCGCGTTGTTACCCTGGGTGGAAGGTGGGGAGGGGAGAGCCCCCCGCGCGCTGCGAGCAGAGGCAGGACGCGCCGTGCACTTACGGACCCTTCGGGGATGTGATCGTTGGCCAAGGCCAGCAGCAGCTCTCGGCTGGGAGATGCGGGGCTGTGGCTGTGGCTTCGAGCTCGGCCTTTGTGTCCCCTGCAGGGCTGGGAAGGTTGGGTCAGGGTCAGGGCAGCTCTGGGCTGCGGCTCCAAGGAGCCGCCGAGAGCTGCGGGTCGAGGGAGCGTCCCATGGCAGGAGCGGGGCTGGGCAGGTCTGGGTTGCAAGGCCGAGGCGCTGGGGTGGCTCCTTTCGGTGGGTTTGGTCTCAGAGAGAAGGGGAAAAAAGCGAGGGAAGAGCGGCGCTTTGCCGGGGGGGTGGGCAGCTCCCGCCGGCGCCGACGTGCTGGGAGGGATGGGAGGGATGGGGATCCGTCACCACTGCTTCGCTCCACTTCCACGCACGGTCCGAGAAAGGTGTCGATTCTGTTTCATTTCCGAGTCTGGTCTGACACGCCACCTCCTGACAGGTATTTTATTTTGGAACCGACTTCGCTGTTGTTCCTCCCGTCCCTCCCTCCCCGGCCCTTTGCACCCGCAGCGACTCCCGGATCCCGCACACCGTTCCCATCTGTAACGCTTTCTGATCCCGACGGTGTGGCTATTGGTCCCTGTCCTGTTGCTAGCATTGTGCCTGTCTTATGTATAATCACATCACCAAAAAAGGAAAAAAAATACAAAGGACATATTTTTTTTTCCATTTTGTAATCGTAAAGAAATAGTAGCTAAACTGCTTAATGGTTGGGGTTTTCACAATTTTCAACATTATCTAGTGTTTTTGGTTCTGTTCTAGTTTAAAGGATATGTCATCGTTTCTTTAAAAAAAAAAAAGAAAAAAAAACAAAAAACAATGCTACCATATCCCTCCGCATAAGTGCTTTTCTATTTATAAGGTTGAAAATTCTGAATAACCCTTTTAGCATTATAAAAACCACAAAAAACACCTTGTATTTTGTAAATATTTTCTTTTCCTGCTTTGAGCTGTGTAATGTCCTTGTTATATAGAAATGCTTTTCTTCCGAGAAGCTGATCTTTGTTAATGTCTTGATTCTGTTGGCAAAGCACAAATGTGCTTATAAAAAAAAAAAAAAAAAAAAGAAAAAAAAAGATTAAAAAAAAAATTAAAACAGAATATTCCATGCAATGTGTGTTTGTGAAACGCTGGCTTGGGGTGGTGCAAGGGAGCCTTCGGTGTGCTCAGCCTGGTCCCGGGCCGATCAGCCGCTTCCCTCCCACCGCCTGGGTGAATGGCCTCTTTTTTCTTTGATACCATTATTTCCCAGCAGTTATTGTCGAGGAATGAAAAGAGGAATTGTTCCGCGGGATCTCTGGATTTAGGCGTTGCTCTGTGGTATCAGATCAAGCACGCCCAGGGCTTGGTGGCGTTTCCCTGAGAGAGCCCAGGAGAACCGAGCTCTGCCCTGCGGCCAGTAAATGCCTGGGGCTGGGTGAGGCGTTCATTTTCTGTTTAGGGTTAAGTCATGCCCAGGTGGGGTTTGTGGAAATGAGGCTGTTACTGCGACACTCAAATGTCAGCAAGAGTGGGAGGCGACTTCCTTGGCTGCTCTTAAATTTCCAAGCTGAGACCATTCTTTGTTCCTGGTAACCCGTGTGGCTGGGAAACGGGCAGCTGCGGGGTGAGTGTTCGCCCCATGATCAAAGGAGTGGGAGGCAGCGACCTGTGAATCACCCGTGTATTTACAACGAGGAGGAAAAATCCAATCTGAAAAGCAAATGGTGGCAGCCAGCGGTCACACTGGCAGCCGCGCTGGTTGTGGGCATTAAACTTGGTGTTTCTGACCCCACAAGAAGAGGCGCTGCCCTTGGGAAGGTTTGCAGCGGTTGAAGGCCTTTGGGGCTGCTTTGTGGCCCCCAGAGTGCCGGCAGCTGGAGGGCTCTGGGCTGAAAAAGCTACAACCACGATGGGCAAGGGCTTGGATGGGGGCTGGAATTGGTGAAGGGGACAAAGGCGTCACCGTGGATTTGAAATGGGCTTTGAAAAACCCCCAGTGCTCACTGCTACCCGTGGGCAGAGCTGTCTACAGTCCCCATCCATGGCACCCCTGGGGATGCTGCTGGCCATGGTGGGGGGGTTTGTCATGGACCACAGACAACGCGCGCTTGCCCTCCTCGACCCCCCCTCCAACCCCACAGTGCAGCCAAAACCCAGCCCCAGTGTTGTGGAGCCCCCACGTGCCCACCACCAGCTCCCTGCTGCTCCCCAGGCGTTTCCACGCTCCCGCTCCACGCGACAGAGGCGGCGTTTCTTGTAGTAATGACTTTATTTCCAAATTCACTTTTACGGCAACAGTGTAAACCAGTTGTTAAAACGCACAATACACTATGGACATTCACAGACAGGAAGCTAAGCTAGAATGATACACTGAGATCAAACCTGCCCTCCCCTCCCCAGCGCACGAAGGGGACGCGGGACTGCCACCGCCACGGCAGTCTGACACTGGCAGTTCACTTAACAAGCATAATTTTGAGTGCAGAAAACACGGGTTTGGAATCAGTGCCGGTTTCAACCCTTTTCAGACCAAGATGTGTGTGGAGTAAAGGGAAAGCCGTGGGTCGGTCTGGCCAGCTGCTCGCGGAAACCCCCAGGCCCGGGTCTGAAGGCGGGTCGGGGCTGGGGCCGTGGCTCGGGCTGCTGGGAGGGGGCAGCGGGAGGTGCTTGGGGGGGAAAATGGGGCTGGTCCAGGCCCCCTGTGTCCCGGTGGACCCGGGGCAGGGGCCGCTCACTGGAGCCGCAGGTGAAGGCCGGCTCCTGGCACTGGTGTCCCTCGGGAGCCGCACGGAGGGGGCTGTCGGGACGGGGCTGGGCTGGGTGAGCTGAGCTGCAGTCCTGCAGCCAGGGGGGTGGAAGGGGTGACGGCGTGGGGGTGGGGATGTCTCCCACTCGCTCGCTTTTACATAGGACAAAAAAGCCACAGCGGCGCCTACATCCCACAGCGATACAAAGGGGGTCACGGACTTAAATACAGAGGCTTACAATCATCGAGTCAACTGAAACGGAGCTAGCGACACGCCGGACGTGGGCTCTCGCCCCAGGGGCTGCAGAGACAAGGGCTGGACCCCCCCTCCCACCACCTCCACCCCACCAGCAGTGCTCCAGCCTGGAGCAGGCGCCCTCCCCAGGCCTCCCCCTTGGCCCCAGCGCCCTGCAGAGCCCAGTGGTGTGCACCCGTGTGAAGGCCACGGCAGCTTCCTCACCTCCTGCTAAGGACGGGAGCAGGGAGTGAACGCGGCACTGCCCCGAGGAGCGGCAGCTCAAAAGGCCTCGGCGGCTCCCAGTCCCCACCCCGAGGCCTCCCCCCTGCTGCCCCAGTCAGACCAGGATTTTGGCCCCAGCACCGCACGCCCTTTGCTGGGAAAGCTCGGCTTTCCCTACAGCACGGCCCTTTGGGCCCTGTGCCGGTCCTGCGGGGCATCCCCCCGCCCTCAGCCCCGCTTCCAGCTCTGCCCCAGCCCCTCGGCTCACGCCTCCTGGGGGAGACGGGGAGGGAGGATGCGCGCTGAGCTGCACCGATCGCATCTCAGCCTCTTTGGTTGTAGAAGGAAGGGGCACGCGGGGACGGCGGTGGGTGCAGCACAGCCCCCGGCCACCCCCTCATGAGCCCTAGGTTGCCACAGGAACAAAAGCGGTGAAAGCAAGCAGTCAGCTCCTCTCCCCTGCGTGGTGTTGGGGGGGGGGGACGGGTAGTGCTGTGTGACCGGGACACCGGGTGGGTGCAATCGTGCTGAAACCGGGAGGGCACCTTGGAAAGGGGCGGGCAGTGCCACCGAGCAGCCGCTGGACTCGGGACAGGGCCGGGGGCGCTGCCGCCACGCACCACTAACACCTCCCTCGCGCCTTCCCCTCGCGTTCTCCCATTTGTCTCCTACCGCTGCCAACGGCACGAGACCAGCAGAGCCATGGAGCTGCCACTTCTGTGACCTCTTAGCTGACCTTGCAGGGAAGAAAAAAAAACAACAAATCAACCCCAAACTGTTACAAGCTGCACCCAAATCCAGGAGCCATCCCAGCCCTGGAGCTGTGAGTGCCCCTCGTGCCGCGTCCCCGGGCCCCGGGAGGTGCACAGCCACGGGGGCGCAGCACCGGGACACCCTGCGCGGCCCCCAGGCCCCCCCAGGGAGTGGGGAAGCGGCGCTGCGTGCGCCCACGCACCCGGCAGGCATGCGGTGCCGGGTCTGGGCACAACCCGGAGCTCGGCAGGGGCTCCCCACGCCCCCCCTCCTCGCTGGGCTGCGGCGGAGCCAGCGCGGGGCAGCGCACAACTACTTACAGCGTTTTCAAACACATGCTCGTTTATGAAAACAATCACCCTGGCACGGTCCAAGCATATACAGACAAATCTACTCTACGACACGAGGGGCTGCCAAAGGAACGGGGAAAAGCCTCTACTCATCCACTCAGCGGTTCCAGCACAGCCTCGGAGAGGGGGCCGGCCGGCCGGGGCCCCTTCTGCAACGGGACACCCTGGTGTCGCCGGTACTCCAGCTGCCGGAGCTGAGAGCGGGATTAGGGGATGCCTGGCAGTTACCTTCATACACATCTCGGCTTTCAGAGGGAAAAACAAAAGGTTTCTTCCAAATCAGCAGGCAAATTTAATGCAGAAAGGGAGGGCGCCTGCCTGCAGTCCCTGGCTGCAGCACCCACTACCTGCGCTGAGTGCAGGCCAGGCCTCCAGCCCGGGACTCGTTAGGGTAACGAGCGTGGGGAGCCCCGGGGCTGTCACCCCCGCTCCCCGCGAGGCCCTTGGGGTGCTGGGGTCAGCGTCGTGCTGGGGCTGCCCCCTCCACCCCCTGGCTCCTTCCCGCCGGGACAGCGAAGGGACGAGGGGACGAGGGGAGGGAGCGGGGACGGGCACGGGCTGTGCGCTCCGAGGAGCAGGGGGAGAGGAGGTTTTGTACCTCATAGTGTCTGATTTTGAAGTCCTGGAGCTAGAGCTGAATGAACAGTAAAAGCAGGTTAAATCATTAACCAGTTAGGGGATGGGGAAGCAGCTGTAAAAGGAACAGAGGAAGAAGGCCAGATTATTATTTTTGTTTCTTTTCTTTTTTTTTTTTTCCTTGTCTTCTCTCATCTTTGCCCGCCGTGCCCCGATCACAAGCCCTGCTTGGCCAGCGAAGCGGACACTTCGTCAGCTAGCGTGGCGAGCTGGGGGGAGTCCACCATATTGATGCTGCCGGTGGAGGAGACATTGCTAAGGCGGCGCGGGGAGGCATCTCCGGAGATGGTGGGGGACTTGTAGACGATTTCGGCGCCGTGGTCAGTCTTGGCTTTGGCGTTCTCACGGAAGGTCAGCTTATGAGTCTCAATCTGCAATGAGAGGAGAGGTCGGTGAGACAGAGGACAGGGAGCGCGGTCCGGAGAGGCCGTTTTTACCTGCAGGCCGTCCACTGGGCCACTGCCACGGTGCAGCTGGGAGGAAAGCGGTGAGGAGGCAGCTGAGAGCCGAGCGTGGCGCTGGGGACAGCCCCCTCCCCTGGGCTGCCAGCCCAGGGGGCTGGAGGCTTGCTCGGGTCATTGGGCTGATCCCTCCCAGTGCCCCCAGTCCTCAGGCGCGTCCCTTCCAGTCGCTACACACTAGGAATGGGCACAACTGGAAGGGGGTGGCAGGACTGGGGCACCTCGGGATGCTGCCGACTCCTTCCCAAGCGCCCAGCCCTGGTGCAGGGCTGGGTCCCGGGCACAGGACTCAGCTGGCACAACCAGGGCTGCTCCTGCTCCCCTGGCTGGGGTTTATGCGGTGGGGGGGACGCGCACGGCTCGGCTGCCCCTTACCCCACGGCCCAGCTGCTCCCACGAGCCAAACCCCTCTCTCCTGGTGAGCGCGAGGGGAGGTGAAGCGGATGAGGTTTGCTACTTACTGGTGCCCTCCCCAGCCAAGTGCAAGGCTGGGGGCTGGCTCTCCGGGGGGGTGGGCGGCTCCAGCACCAGGGACTGGAGCCCAGCGGGGTCTGGGCTCGGGGTCCGAGCAGCCTGGGGACAGGTCTTGTCTTCCTTGCCTTTCTCTCTCTACAGGTGAAGAAACCCGCCCAAGGCGGTGGGGTGCAAAAAACGCATCAGCAACGAAAAAAAAAAAACAAGATCCAATAAATGTCAACCAGAAGGAAAAAGACCAAAAAAAAAAAAAAAAAAAGAAAAGAAAGAGGAAAATTGGTGGAAAAAGATCTGAAAAACCAGGCCATTCACTGACTCATAGGAAGAACAGCATCGCCTTGGGAGACAGGAGCCAGGCTTCCCCTGTGCGGCAGGGGACAGCAGGTGCTGCCAGTGCAGGTATGGGGCAGAGCATGGAGCACCCCCAGCGCCTGCACTGCAGCCAGCCCAGCTCCGAGGTATTGGGGCCAGGAGAGCTGGGGACGTGTCCAAATGGATCCTTCAGCAAGAAGGGGAATGAGGACGAGGGAAAGGCTGGGGAAGGGGCAGCAGAGCCGCCCCCAGCCGCTGTGCTTGCGGGGCTGACCGGGCACGGCTGTGTCCTGTGCCCACCCTGCGGCCACAGCATCCCACCTCGGAGCACCTGAGGATGGTCCCGGTGCTAAGGTGTGAAGGGGAATGGGCTGGGGAAGGGAAGCAGATGAACTCCAGACTGCCAGCCTCCTCCAGGTGGGGATTTAGGCAGGATTTAGGCAGGATTTGGGCAGCTGCCATGCGAGGAGGCTGATGCAGGCTGATCCCGCTGCCAGCTCAGCCCCCTGCAAATAAACTCCCCCTCCAAAGGGCAAGCTCTTCAAGCTATGGCCCAGTGAATGTGCCCGGGTATGAAAGAATCGTCAGCGTCGTAATAATAAAAATGATGAAAATGGGCTCAGTGAAGCACAGGGCAGTCTGATGCGTAGCAGCAGCGAGAGAAGGGTAAGGAAGTCAAGCGGTCCCTCCGGCAGAGGCCAGCGCACCGCTGGGAGATGAGAGCTGGGAGGTGCACAGAGAAAACATGGCCAAGAACAGAGTGCCAAAACACAGGAGCTGAAATAGAGCCTTCCCCTCCCATCGAGAAAAACAGTGTTTGAAAAACAAGCAAGAGAAAAAGCCCCGTTCCCTAGGGAAATTCATCCGTGTGTGTCTCCAGGCTGGGGTCCCAACGCTTCCCCCATCTCCCGGCTGCCCTGCCTGCAAGGGGCTCGTCTGTCCTTCAGGAGCGGCTGCAGAGGGGTTTTTCTTGCTGACCCTTACTGGGAAGGCACCATCAAAGCCTGGCACGACCGGCTCCCTCCAGGTTCAGGATTTCACCCAACTTGCCTGGCTTTTCCCTCTCAATTTAACTCCCCCAGACGCGCACCACTCCTGACACCGTCCTTGGCCAGCCTCGTGTGGGAGACTGAGATCTGAAGGAAGACATCACCTTTCTTCGGAAATGGCAGCCTCCTGCACAGCCACCTCCTCTAAATAAAGCTAAGCCTTTAATGCTCCACTTTCACTGGGGGAACGATGCCCACGCAGTGCCCTGACCGCCAGCTCCGTGCCACGCCGCTGAGATTCATCGGCAGCACGCGGCGCAGATGCTGACAGCACCCGTGAAAGGTTCCAGACACAAACCTGCGGTGCGCAGCCTTCAGAGAGCAGCAGGAAGAGCAGGAAACCACAGGAGGGGACATCGCACGCGTTCACACTCACTCAGGCGGCCGTGGGCAGGAGGAGGACAGGCTGCGAGCCCCACAGCTCCGCCACCGCCAGGCTCCGACGTCCCCGGGGCTGGAAAACGCAGCCCGGGAGCCCTCAGCTCTGCCTCCTTCCACGGGCAGGGGGCTTTTACTGACTGCCCCCCACCAGAATTTGGGCAGCAAGTGGTTTCAGGTCGTGTGGGCTAAAGATGAGCCTGGCCAGCGGGTCCTCCTCTGAGCCCAGCCTCCAGGCACTCTCAGGGCACACGGACACACGCAGCAGCAGAGCAGCCCCGCTCGCCACCACGCTCCCCTTTACCTTTTTATTTCCTCCTCCAGGAACGTGGCTGATGTTATCTAAGGACCCGATTTTCGACTGCACCTTATCTTTGAAGTCCAGTTTCTCAGATTTCACCTCCACCTGGCCACCGCCTGGAAGAGAGGAGCAGCAGGAGGGCAGAGTCAGCTCCTGCAGCAGCCGGGGGAGGAAGAGCTCCGGGCCGAGCCGAGCGCTGCTGGGGCTGTGCAGAGGGCGAGGACCACAAAAATGATAGCAAGGGTTTTGGAAACCCAGGGAAGTGGGGTAAAGAGACCTTCCAGAGGATGCTGTGTGGAGCTGGCGGGCATCCCAACAATTCGGAGAGCCACAGGCAGGGCGTTATTACCCTTACTCCCCTCCACACCCCGAATTAATCCTAAAGGGCAGCGGTGTGTTGGGACAACCAAGGATGTCCATGGACCAGAGCAGATCCCTCCCCAGAGCAGTTTTACGGTGTCAGAGCTGGGACCAGCGCCCAGCACCACGCTGATGCTCCCTCCAGTCACCACTCAGGCATCTCCCCACACCCCCTGCACCCCCCATCACCCTGGGAGCCCCCAGGGACCAGCGCACGGCCACCACGGGTACCTGGTTTGTGATGGATGTTGCCCAGGGACCCACATTTGGACGTGACGTGGCTCAGGTCCACCGGCTTGTAGACGATTTGGACCTGTCCGTACGAGAAAGGAGAAGGAGATGAGCCTGCTGCCAGCACCAGGGTGCCTGGGGAGGGGGAGGCACAACACACAGCAGCACCTGAGCTGGATTGGAGGGAAAGGACAGCTCCAGCCCCGGTGAGATTAACAGTACAAAAGAAACCGGCATCGGAAACGGGAGATCATTAATGCCCGTGTGCAGGAGCCTCTCTTAATGTCAGCATGCACAAGATCACCTCTCCACAGAGGGGGGGGAGTAGAGGACAATTTTAAAGTGCTTAAGTGAGAAAGAAAGTGGAGTGGTGATTAATTAAGATTTGCATACACATCATCCAAAAGGAGGAGATATATACCAGAGAGAAAACGTAAAAAATTAAATACCTTTGCTGGTGTAAAACATAAAGCTTATGTCCACAAAAACTGAAAGAACAGAAATGATCAATGTGCACAGAAATTTTAAAAGAGTGACCAAAATATGCATTTCTGAAAAACGCTGCAATGGAAATAACGGTTAACAAAAAAAATAAATAACTAAAAAGCAAAAGCAAAGTCTAAATATCTGGCAGGAGTTCACATAATATATAAATTAAAATGGCAATTATAACAGACTGAACTGCAGCAGTACTGCAGCATTTCCTGGTTTTATGCTGCTTTTTTGGTTCTTTCACACGTTATTGTCCCTGAGCAGGGCTCCGGCACCTCCACCTCTGCCGCCCCGTCCGAGGAGCGGCCGCGGCGCCGTGCCTGAGAGCCACGGGGTGACACGAGACACACACACGGGGACGGTTAACGGGGAGCTTTTAGTGGCTGCGTTAGAGGTTAGACACCACGCTGGAAAACGCCAACATCTGGAGGTCTGGGAGCAGCGGCAAACACAGCACGTGCACACCACCGACACCAGGGCTGGGAGACAGCGGGGCGAGGGCACGTCCCCAATCCCCCCGAAGTTGCTTTGGAGCCTGGTTTCGGACCCACACCTGCGTGCGAATCGGCTCTGGCTGCAGGTAGGGAGCCTGTGAGGAGAAACCAGCTCACGGACACCTCCGGGCTGGTCCCATCCTGCTGGGGAGCAGCCGGCTCTCGGGAGCAGGCTGGGATTTTGGGGGAGCGCGTGCTGCTCTCTGCACGCCCCCCGAGCTCTCCGAAAGCACCAAAGGGACCCTTGCAGAGGAGGGGACCCCCCCGAGCAGCCAGGCAGCCCCCGAAGCAGCGTGGCCGAAGGGTTGGTCGCCCTTTATGGCACCACGCATCCCGCACTGATTTGAGAGCCCCAGCTCTCTTGGCAGCCCCGTGGCCGCCGTCCTCAGAGCCGGGTGGGGACGTGGCTGTGCACACTGCTAAGGAACGTCCCCCCCCCTTCACCAGGAAAACACGGGGGGACGCAGCGTCCCTGGTGCTTGGGATGTGCAAAAATCTTCAGGGAGGTGCAGGGCCTGGCTCCTGCAGGGCCACAGGCTCGGTGCCACCGCCCCGTGCCCCGTGCCCGCAGGCCAGGCTCGTCCCGATGCTCACGCACGCCAAAAGGCACAGGTAAATGAGAGGGGGGGGACAGGGAGAGGGGAGAAAAACAACCCCTGGGGCTGGGAGCACACTGCAGAGACAGACATGGAGACAGGGTGGGGGGAAGCTCAGACATTTAACGCACTGGGTAGGAGGAGAGCTAAATTCACTTGGGAGGCAGCAGACAGCCCGCAGAAGGGCAGAGCCTTTCTGGTCCCAGGGCCTGGGAGCACCTCGGGGCACTGCTGGGTCTGGAAGACCCCCCCCCATTTCCAGAGCAAGCAACCTGCACCCCAATCCCTTTCTGCTCTCCTCCCAGCTCCTTTTTTTTTAACAGGAGGGACTCGATGAAATGCTGGGAGCAGAGCAGGGGCCTCCCAGTGCAGCAAGAAAGGGAAAGGGGCACAGAGCTGCTCGCCTGGGAAACCAGCACCAGAGACCTTGGGATCCCATCTCTTAGCATCCCCAATTCTTACGGCAGCTTTTGCCTACTGCATCACCCTGCCAGAGCATCCCCTGGCATTAAAAAATAAAAATAGATAAAAAAGGTACCGACCCCAGGCAGCAGCAGCAGCAGCTCGCTTCCCTTGAAGCGGCAGAGGCTGGGCAGGCGTCACTGCTGGCGGCATTGCAGAGGATTAAGACACGACTGCCATCGTGCCCCGGGGGCTTCTCGCTGCCCCTCGATCAGAGGAGCCCCCAGGCACAGCTCTGCCACCAGGCCAGCCCCTGTGCTCACACTCCAGCCAAATCAGCACAAAACTTTGCCCCGAGCACCCGTGCCCTGAGCGAAGCTGCTGCTTTCGGTGTCAGCAACCACAGCACGTTCGGTGCTGGCGGAGCCTGGGGAGGGATGGCGATCTCTAGCCAAAAAATCCAGAGGATTCGTAAGCCACTGCAGAGGCAAGTGCTTGCCCACGGTGCGAGCGCTCAGAGGAGGAAGGGATGAGCTCAGCACCTCGTGCTGCAGCTGAGCAGCAGCCACGCACATGATGTGATGTGATGGGATGGCCAGACACCCCCTCCTGGCGTAATGCAGGACCCGGCTTTGAGAAATGGCAAAAAGAGCAGGGAACCTGCTGCACAGAGACCCACCTCTGCAAAGCAGCTCCTCCGGCCCAAAAATAAAAGGAGAATGCCAGCAAATTTAAGACCGAGGTTGCAAACCCAGGCATGTCCCGATGCTCACGTGCCAAGCCCTCTGCAACGCTCGGTTTCCCAGGGAGGGCATCCCCAGAGACCAAAATCAGCACAACGAAAAGCCATCGGGAACGTCTGAGGGGCACCCGATGGCTGCCTCAGGTGGCCACAGACCGTGGGCTGCACCGTTTGGGGTCTCGGTGAGGCTCCCTCCTTGGCCCAGCTCTGCCTCCAGAGAGACCGGTGCAAATCCACCGACCTCTGGGGAGTTTCTGCAGGTTTCTGGCACATTAAGTGAAGGCTGAGGCTGGCTGCTCCTCTGGGAATGGCTGGAAATGCCTGGGTTCAGCTCAATTAATGCAGTGCTACTTCAGGCTCAGCCTCCACAGGGCACTGGCACACACTGGGCACATTCATTAGCACGGTGGATGTTCACACGGATCGTACTTGCCTGATGGGAACGATGAGGAACCTGGGCTTTTACGTGTTGTGCAGGGTCAGGTGCAATTTAGCAGGGCACTGAGCAGTAAGGGCTGTGTTTGCTCATAAATCTATCCGTGCACTGCCTCAGCAGCTGCGTCACTGCCTGCTGGAGGCCACCCGTCCTGCAGGCAATGAGGCTTTGAGCCTTCCAGGTAGTGTAAAACCTCGGGGTTAACGGGACGGTTCGCTTCAGACACGGGTCAGTTAGTTCTGTCCACGTCCAGGACTTGTTAGGGTTCCTCTACCCACGTCTTCTGGGTTAATGGGTTAAAGGACAGCACGCCACCAATGGCTATCTGACGGCGGGGCCGCTGCAGATAGCATTGGGGATTCGGTGTCTAGAACATGCCACTACTGGTCAGGATGATCACAGAGCATTCCAAGTGTGAAGGTACTCACACTGCCTCCTCCCGGGACGTGTTTGATATTATCCTTTGAGCCACACCTGGATTGAACGCTGCTATAGTCCAACTTCTTATTAACAATCTGCACCTTTGGTAGCCAGAAAAGAGTCATTGCACGTCACCAATAGCTATCTGACGGCACGGTGGCTGCAGATAGCATTGGCAGTTCAGCGTACACAACATGCCACTTAGCATAAGAACCATTACAGTGCATGAAAGTGTGAAGGTACTCACACTGCCTCCTCCTGGGATGTGTTTGATATTATCCTTTGAGCCACACTTGGATTGAACGCTGCTAAAGTCCAGCTTCTTATTAATAATCTGCACCTTTGGTAGCCAGAAAAGAGCGTGAGAAACAACGTGATCATCTGCAGCTTGACCATGCGAAACAGCACTAAAACCAGGAGCCTGCCTTCCAGCGTCAGGAGCAGAGGAGGAGCTCTGGCTGGCTGCACGGCTCTGCTCACGGGTTGGAAACCGAAGATGGAGGTGGGCGAGCTTTAGCCAGAGATTGCTGATGTCTGGCTGGCAAGGCAGCCCCGGTTTCCAAGGCAGAACACCAGCAGAACAGCCAGCGCCCCCCCTTTGCCTTCCCCGAACAAAAGGAGGGAGCTGCAGAGCGGCAGCGCTCAGTGACTCAGCACCTGCATCGGGCTGGGAGGAGGGATGGGGCTGAGGAAAACCCCAGGGCTCAGCACCCAGTCCTGCACCAGCCCACATCTCCCCTCCCTTGCACGGAGATGCAGAGCAAACTGTGACGGGATGCCCAGAGCATCCTGGAGAGCAGCCCGGAGGGGACGGCGAGCTCCGCGCTGCGCAGGGCTCCAACTCCCTCTGCAGTTCCGAGGAGAAAACGCCGTGGCTGCCAGGGACGAGGTCCCACGCCAGCAGTTTTCTTAACCCCCGTGCAGATAAGATGATCGGACAGCCCAGGCCAACCCCAAAGGCTCTGCCCCATGTTCCTGACACCACCTCGGGTGGGAAATGGCTCGGTACCCCGGGAACCACACGCCCCGCTAACATCACCCTCCCGTCCCAAGGCCTGCCTGCCCTCTCCCTGAGTTTTTGTACTAAAGAAGCTGTTTCCACTTAGGGTTTGTTTTGCTTTTTGTGTCTTTTATAAGTCCAGTGATGCTGGAATGACCCCACACAGTAGGAGGAGCTGTGCCAGACGAGACACCGATGGAGGTACAGTCCCTGCTCCTTCCCCTGCTCGGGCTGGGTTTGTTCCCTGACCTAAACCAGGGCTCTGGCTGGGCACAAAACCTCACTCTCCATTTCCCCAGCCTGCTGCAGCAAGGATTGCTCCTCGCTGAACCACGGTTCTCCAGCACCAAGGCTGACAGAAGCCCCCCTGTGCTGTTTTTTCAAGTCCAGATCAATGAATCCTGCAGCTCAGGGCACAGCTCGGCTCACCGGGCTAACCGAGGGCAGTGCTCAGAGAAACACCGACCCAAGTGCTTGGTGCAGGAGCACTGGGAAGGATTTGGTCTGGCTGACTTCTGGCTCACGTGCGCCACGTTCCCTAGGCTGGGGGGAAGAAATTTGGGTGGAGAGAGGAGGCTGCAGGGGCCACCTTCTGCCAGCCTAAACCCAGACTTGTGGGGTCAGGCCCCTTCCACTCTAGCGGCAGCCTCGTGCCCTACAGATCCCCCAGCAGAGCACCCAGCCATGCTCCCCTGCAAGGAGCAATGAATCGTCCCGAATTCAGCATGTTGCCCGAGAGAGAAGCCAACAAATGGGAAAAAAATAGCAAAAGCTGGATTAAAAAGAACAAGCCAACAATTTGACGCATTTACAGCAAGCGGGAGGGCTCCGAAACTCCCAGAGGAGCGGTGTTCTGGGGGGTGGCAGAAAAATATAAGCGTGGTGCTACGCAGGCAGGAGGGATGAGACCTGGGACACAGGCAGCTGAAGGGACTCATGCTGCTCTGCCCTGCTAACAGCCAGGGTCCAGAGACCGTAACTGATCCCCGGGCTGCAGCAGAGAGCAAAATGTGCATCGTCCAGCAAACTGCCAGCCCATGCACCTCCAGAAATGCAAAAGCCCGCTGCTCAGGATGGAGAGGAGCCATCTCACAGCCTCCCCCCGTGCCAAAGGCTCGGAGGCACGGAGCCACCGGGTGGCACGAAGCAGCAGGCACCGCTCGGACGTGTCGTGGTCCTGCTGCTTTGGCAGCTGCAGGCACGAGCACGCAGCAAATCCTGGCTGCAGCGGGCACCAGGCGTGTGGTTGTGCCGCGTAACGTCACCGTAAGAGCCACCAGGCCCTCGGCCAGGTCTGTGCCAGGGCTTTGCAAAAGTCTCTGCCACTGGGCTTGCAAAATTGAACGTGCCACCCTTGTTCCCGAGCGCTCGGAGCCCAGCGTTCATTTTGCTGCTCCCTCTGGGAGTGAAAAGCAGCAGGGGCTGGAGGATAAAACACTGCCACCAGCAGCTGACTGCAGCGTGCAGCCCACAGCCCTGCCAGCAGAACCAAGATCCCAAACCCCAGTGCTTTAGGAAAACCGCTCAGCTCCTGCACTGCTTCCCTCACCAGACCTGAGCCAACAAATCCTGGCCACAGCAGCAGCTCCAGCTCAGCCCCAGCCCCGTCCCAGCAGGGCTGGGATCGCCCCCAGAGCCCCGGCTGGCCCCAGGAGGAAAGCACCCAGCAGGAACCCCCCGTCCGACCCCAGAGCCCTGCGGTCTCAGCGCTGGCCGTGTTTTGGGGCCAGCCCAGCGAGCCCAAAGCTCTCTGCCCTCAGGGAGCACCACCAGGACCTGGCAGAGGCTGCAGTTCTCCTGGGGGTGTTTCACCTAACCCAAGACCCTCACAGGACGCGGCCATCGTCTCAAAGAAACGGGGGCAGCATCGGGGTGACTGCTCCAGGTAGGATCCAGAAACACAGCCCCGATCCTGCGACTCTTTAGGGCTGCAGGGCACAAGCTGCTCTCCCTAACTGGATGCCCAGGGGAATATCACTCCCCGGCAGCCGGTCTGCACTCGGATGTAGCACCCCGTGGAAGCCACAAGGCAGGCAGATTTCAGGACAAGCCCCCAACCCAAAACACCCCAAAACCAGAATGGGGCTGGGGATCAGCCCCAGCACAGCTGCCACAGCTGCCCCCCCAGGACTGCTGCTCCCAGAGGCAGCGCTGGGTGCCCGCTGTCCCCGCAGGAAGGCAGAGCCCACGTTTACCTTGCCACCTCCGGGCTGGTGCTTCAGGTTCTCGGTGGAGCCGATTTTGGACTTGACGTTTTTCAGGTCAGGCATGGGTGCAGCTGAGGGCTGGATGCGGCTCTTGGCAGATGCGGGAGATTTCGGGGGGGTGCGAACCACTGCCACCTTCTTGGGCTCCCTGGCTGGTGGGGTGGGCAGAGAAGGAGTGCGGGAACGGCTGCCTGGAGTCCCGGGGGAGCCGGGACTGCTGTAACCGCTTCTGTCTCCAGACTTGGGCTGCTCACCTGCAGTTTACAGACACAGCGAGGCGAGCACAGGGTCAGCAGACAGATGCACTTCATTTTCAAGTGAGAGCTCAAATTAGAAACAACATTCCCCAATATCTCAGAAGAAAGACATTCTTTTTATTGTCCGGATCGTGCCCCGCTAGCGTGTGGCATCAGCATGCATGAAAAACCTGACAAAAGGCACTGAATCAGAACTACTTTTCTATGAGGAATTTGGAAGCATTTTTATAAAATCATGTAATTAAATACAGCTCAGATCACTGAGCAGCTCGGAACTGTGCCCCATCAAAAAAAAAGAAAAGAAAATCCTCAAACATCACCTTTCTCAGACTTTGCTGCTGCAGGAGGTGGTTTTTTCTGCTCCTTTCTGCCTGTTTAATGAATGAGAAAGATGGTTAAACCTAATAAAGCTGGAAATTTAATTGATTTAAGAATTTATGCAGCTCTGGGTAAGTATGGAAAATATATATATTCAGTGAAATGCACCATTTTAATGGAAATTCACAATGCCTGATGCTTTCTGGGGTTTTCTTCTGAGAATAATGGGCTAATCTCCATTCCTGCAATCGAAGAATTGATCCTCTTCTCCCAGGTCTTTGTGAAATATCATCAAGAGAAAAGGAATAGACGGATTAAAAAAAAAAAACGGAGCCGTCTAAATCTTCCAAATTGGAGGAAATCCCACGGGGATAAGGCGAGTGCCCTCTCCTACACACTGGCAGCTAGAGGAAGCGAGCAGAGGAAGCAGCGTGCAGCAAGGCTCCCTTCGGGGGAACCCTCCTCAGCCCCGTGATGATGCTGAGCGGCTCCGAGGCACCGCACGGATCTCATCCTGCTGGCCCTGCCCTTGCTCAGCGCCGTGCACGACCCCAGCCTGCATGAGGGGCTCCCTACCCCAAAATCCTTGCACGGAGAGCCTGGGGGCCGCAGCCCCGAGGGAAGGTGGCCGCACGCTGCTCTTGCCACCACCTACCGGAGCTGGGAGGGGTCTTGGGGGCCGTGGGGGTCTTTGCCGGGATGCGCGTGGCGTTGGCCGAGTTCCTCTGAGCCTGCCCGGCTGCGGAGCGTGGCGTGGCCGCCTTCGTGCCACCCGGGCCCTGGGGACACAAGGAGGAGAAGGTTGATGCAGGAGGGATCTGCCATCGCTTTTCATGGATCGTAGCCACGCAGGACCCCCCTGCTGCCCGCCCTGGCAGCCTGCAGGGCTCCCCAAATTTCCCCAGGTGCAGGCATCCGTGATGTGCCTGCTCCCACCCTGCTTGCCATCGCAGTGCCTGCCACGACTGCCGTGGGTACGTGAGCTCCCAGCTGCAGCCACAGCACTCCCCACACACTCAGGTCAAAAAATGTGCCCAGCTGCTCTGTCTGTCCTCTGCATTTCCCCTTTTATTCCCCTCATCCTGCTAAATTCGTGTGCAATAAACCAATCCAGCCTCCGCTCAGGACAGAGCCAGGCTCCGAGCACAGGTCAGCTTTTCCTTGGTCCCCAGCTGGAACGCACTCAGGTAACGTGTAAATAGCCCGTGGGGGTGTGTAAATAGCACGATGCTCTTTCCTGTCTTCTGATCCTGCAGGAAAGCCCTCCCAGATCTGCACATCCTCTTTCTAGCAATTGTCTGATGCTGGTCTGTGTACACAAGCTGATGCAAAACAGCAAGGGAGAACTTCAAAGCTGGTTGCTCCCACGGCAGCAGGAAAGCGGAGCAGAGCCATCACAACCCCAATCACAGAAACTCGGCATCCCATTACCTGAGACACAGCAAAAAGCTGCCCAAAAAATAAAACAAAAAAAAAACACAAAGGGACCCTGACATGCCTCGGGGAGACCAGCTAACACCCTGCAGCACGTGAGATACTCCTGAGACATGGTGCAGCCCCGTAAGCACCGTCAGAAATGCTTTAAGGTGCTCTCCGAGGCAGCTTTTGCCTCTCTCGCATCCCATCTCCTTACCTTGGCTTTCGTTTCTTGTGTTCCTGTACTGGCAGGTCGGGAGGTGACAGAAGAGACTCGTTTAGAGGTGGAAGCAGGGCTGGAGGGTGTTTTCGGAGGGGTTGTGCTAGAGGAGGTGTGTCGATGGAGGGGGATGGAGGCTCTATCGCCTGGGGGGTTGGCGGTGGAAGGTGAGGATTTCTTAAACATGGAAACAAAATCAAATTGGAACAAAAAAAAAATCAGTATGGGAGGGGAACAGAAAGGGATGGCTGACATTAAATAGGATTAGAAGGTGCAATGCAGAAGCAGGCGTGGGACAGGAGATGGCTGGCACTGCCCTGTCCTTGCGGCACAGAATTAGGCAAAGGTGCAGGTCCTGGGGCACTGCTGAGGTCTCACGGCTGCACCAAGATACAGTGACAGCCGAGCCCCCTCCCAGGGGATGCAGCGTGTCCTTGCCACCACCCTCTACACCATTTTAGCACCCAAACTGCTCCATTTTCTCCCAGACCACTAGGCAGAGACGCTGCAGGATCGCCACGCAGACACCAGGCGCAGCACCACCACCACCACCAGCACTTTTGGGAGACACAGACGGCTGCTCCCAGGTCCCTCAGCCCCATCACACCTTTATCAATAACAGCTTGCTATTAAGTTCCTTGTCAACCCTGCCAGACTTCCCTGGAAAAAGACTCCATTTCCTACTGTTTGGAAGGAATTACATGCCTCGCTTTAACTCTTCACCCACTGCTGTCTCTCAGCTTGCCCATTATCTTGCCCAGACACTGGCCAGACTGAGCTGAACATCCTCCAAACCAGCGCTGTGACAGGTACCTTCCAAACTTCTGCAATTTAGCCTTTATTAAACTCTGTTCCTCCTGAAGAACACGGCATCTGCAAGGACTGGATTATTTAATTTCATTTTTTAATTAGACGTCTTGCTCTTTGTGCTGTTATAGCGCTCATCCCTGATACATCCCAATGCAGCATGGAATTTGCTTTTGCACCAGTTTGGCCCAGCAAACCCAGCCTGCTGCTCCCTGGTTTTGGGCTGAGAAAATGATTTTCCTAACTGCCTGCAAACCCCCACGAGCCACATCTTTGTTTTCGGTTGCTCTGCCTCCTTGCCCTCCAGGATCACCACGGATTGCACCATCCAAACCAGGGCAAGGGAAGACAAAAACAAAAATGCTCTTGGAAGAAAGACTGAAGGATGGAAGATAATGGCAGGGTTTGACACAGCCCAGTCCAGGAGAGCAGGAGAGGAAGACAGGAACATGCACAACCCACACAGGTGGGCTGGTATCGTGGCGGGTTGATTTTTTAGCTTACCTTCGGTTTCTTTTCCTCAGCTTCAGCCCCTTCCTTGTCTTTGCTGTCAATACGAGCTGACAAAGGGAAACAGACACAGTTACACGTTTTGGGACTGGGAGGTAAGCTCCAGCCAGCTGAGCACGTCTGTGCTAGGGTAACACGCATGCTGGGGTGGTGTTACACCTTGCTCTTGCTTAAATTAAATCCCATTCCTGGAAGAATTAGCAAGTTATAAATGTGATATCGTAAGCGCGTCGTGTCTGGGTTAGCAGATTATCCTGTTCCCAGGCAGTGATGCGTTAGTCATCGCTGGAGCATCAGACACACACAAGCTCTGTGTTTGGCCCAGATTTGCAGTCGGTTCCAGTAACACCCATTTAATTTAGGACAGAACAGCCCTCTTTGTCCCTAAATGCGAGCCTCCCTCGTTAAAACAAACACCCAGTTGGCTCTAACAACCACACAGACGCAGACTAAAACTGTGTGCCTCGATTTGGGTCAGGCCCTGCAGGGTCTGAGCATTTCAGCTGCTGTCCTGTGTGGTTCACACCAAGCATTTGGTGACTCTCACAGCGTTTCACTGCTTTGTCCCGTTAGTCCACGAGCAAAACAGTGCAGGACTGCAGTCATTAGGAGATTATAAGCGAGGAGGAAGTAATGTTTGTACCACAGGGCACTCGTAACAAAGCCCCTTTTCTCCACCTTCAGCTAATTCCTCCCTAATCTGGGAGGAAAAGCTGCTGATCCTCGCCCCAGCGTTTGGAAATAGCCCCGGTGGCTCAGCCCACGACCAATGCTGTTAATGCAGCGCTGAGACCCTGACCCCATCCCAGCAGCCAGAGTGCTGCAGAGCAGAGCGAGGCTGAACAGCCACGAAATATCTCTGGGTTTGAAGGAAAAGCTCTTTAGTTAATTAAAGAAATTCCTCCTGCTGAATCAGAAACTGGCTGACGCTGGGCGATGCATCTGCAACCCACCACTGGTTCCAGGCTCTGATGACAGCGCGAGCAAGCCATGCTGGCACCCTGCAGCCCATCTGCAAAGCTTTCTGCTGGCGTATCGGGAGCGATGCGATGAGAAATATGTCCTGAGCTTCAGCTCCACGGGGAAAAGCTACATCAACAATTTCTTTGTCAACCCCACGCAGCAAAGAGCACGCTTCCCTCTGCTGCAAACCAGAGAGAGAGGCGGGGAGCAGGATTTGGGGGATAGGGAGGCAGCCAGGACAGCTTCGGGGACGTGGCGCTGGAGTGAAAGGCAGAGCTTCCCCACAGCCAGACCCCAAAAGCCAGAGGGGAGGCGTGAGATGGTGAAGTGACCATCGGGTTTTGATGTGTGTCCCGCTGCCCCAGCTTCTCACCAAAACTCACTGCAAAATCTGCACTTCTGCACCGAGCAGGCTCCTCTGTGCCACCCCCGACCCCCAGAAAAAGCAGAAAATTGCTCTTGGAGAAAGGAAAGGTCCGAGAGCTGCCCTGCGGGCAGGGATCCTCGTGCTTTGAGGGGTGAACTCAGCCCTTCACCCAGCTGAAGCTGAGACTGCAGCAGCTCCAGCTTCCCACTGCCCCCCAGGGGCTCACGGTGGAGGATGCCCAGCCCAGAGACACGCAGCCCCCGTTGGAAGTGTCCACCCTGCCGGACACCCCAAACGCAGCTGTCACAGCGGCCGTCCCGGACACACCATCCCGAGCTGGGATGGAAGCGGGTGCTGTGTGAGAGCGCTGGAAATGCCCTGCAAAAGCTCCAGACCTTGCCTCCAACGGCAGTCAGCGGTTTTAAGGGAAAACTACAGGAAAAAGGACCAAGGCAGGGCCTTTTCCTGGGTCTGACCTATCTCAGTTGTGCTTTTCCTTCTCCCTCCTGGTGAGGACAGGCGATACGAGGAGTTATTGGGGTGTCAGCGGACACAGGTCTAGGAAGAAGCCACAGCGTGCGCCGGGTTAGCCCCGCACACCATGCCAGGACAGCACCAGCCGGTGTTCCTCCTCTGGGAAAGCGCCGGGGGCGAGGCGAGGAGCCCACCCCCCAAATCCAAGGAGACCGAAACAAACCCAGGAGAACCAAGCACCATCGGGACAGCCCAGCACCATGCAAAGGGGGGCGCAGAACCAAAGCGCGAGGGTCTGGCGGGGATGCCAGGACGTCCGGGATTAAATCACAGGGGGGGGCGGGGGGGAGGAAGGGGAGGGAGAAGCAGCGGTGCTCTGTAGATCAGTCGGCAGCACGGGTCCGGGCCATTTCCAAAGCAGAGGGATTCGAGAGGTGGCAGCAAGCTGCAGGAGGCTGGGGCAGCCTTGTGGGGAGCGGGCAGGCGGTGCGCACGCACCTTTCCGGAGGGGCACGCGGCTGCCTGCTTTGTCTGCAGCGGGGGCACTCGGCTTCTTCCTGGGCGTCTGGCGTCCTCCTGCCTCCGGCACAGCCTCTTCCAGAGCAGCACCTTGGTCTTTTGTGTCGTCTTCAGACCGAGCAGGGAGGCTGGGTGTTTCCAGCGAGGGTCCGGCATCCTCTCCCTCGCCGGGCTCAGCTTCTGCCTGGGAGGTGGCTGCAGCAGGCTCTGGTGGGGTGGTCTCTGTGTGTTCTTCCCCCTTCTCTGGCTGTCTCCTCTCCTCTTGGTCCTCTTCTGCTTTTCGTGCTTCGGTTTCACCAGGAAGTGCCTCTCTCGGCGTGTCTCCAAGGCCATCGTGGGACTTCTTTTCTCCAAAGGCAGATTCCTCAAGGGCTTCCTTGGCTGCTGCTGCACAGAACCCTGCTTCAGGTCCTGGAGAAACGCGCTGTCCCAGCAGGGAAGGCAAATCCTGCTCAGAAGTCTCATCAATATCACGGTCCTCATCTCCTTCCCGTCTGCTGGCATCTTCTTTTAGCGGGGCTCTGGTACCCAAAGGAGATGGCCCGTCCTTACCACGGGGGTCCGCCGTGCCTCCTGCTGCTGCCAGCCCCGCAGCGCTCACATCAGCACCCAGCTCTGCTCCCAGCTCTGCACCCACGCCGATGCCTTCCCTGCCTCGATGATCCCACACCTCGTCGTCTTCAGGCGGTCTGGAGTCCTGGTACATGTCCAGCGGGATTGGGATCGTGACCTCGATCCTGGTGGGAGCAGCCTTCGGTTCTTGTGACGGGGGAGGCTCCCGGAGAGCCCCGGCCACCTGCTTTGTGGGCTGGATTTCTCTTTTTATCACATCTCCCACGGGCTCTTTAGGGCCAGGCTGTAGCTCTGGAGAGCCCGGCTCCCCTGGAGCTGAAGATGCAGAGTACGAAGCGTGGGCAAACAATTAGCACAGGCACGGCAAACAGGCAGTCACGGAACGCGGCAGGGAGACTGAGGAGTTGTACTATTGATCTAGAGGGTAAGAGCGAGTCCACCCTGCCCCAGTCAGCAAAATGTGGGACCCTGACCCCAGGGGGATTGGAAATAATGACAGGCACAGCGGGAGGAAGGCTCCCTGGAGTCTCAGGGGAGGCTGATGTACCCCAGTGTGCCAACACTGCCTCACCTGTGCTGCGAGCTGGCCATCAACGCATCCAGCTTCTCATCCACCATCACCATCGGACCACCAGCTGGCAAGCAAAGGGCCTGAACGAATCAGGCCAGGCACCCTCCCCTCCTTCGTGGGCTTACAAAATCCTGGAGGCCTCTTTTCCCTTCCAGGAGATGCTCATGCAGACATCACGAGCCCAGTTACATCCTCCCAGAGCTCAAACCTTCTCTGCTTTCCTCTCTAGGTCATTTCTAATGAGCTTGGAAAAGAGCACCCCTCTCTTAAATGTCTTAAAATGTCCCCTCTCTTACGCTGTGTATTTCGACACCCAGTGGAGCAAAGAGCCTCAGTGGAAAGGACTGCAAGTAAAAGGTGGCTGTAACTACGCAGCCACAGCAGTTTTGGAGCACGCATCCACTCGTCAGTGTTCCAGCAGCGCTGCCACCATTCAGACATGGTGACATTTAAAACCCAAAACTTAAGGTCACAGAGACACAGATCTTTTTTTTTTTTTAGAGTAAAAGAGACAATTATGTTCTATCGCTGATCTCATGCATGACACAGAACTTCACAATTTCACCCAACAATTGCTGCATTAAGCCATATATTCCGGTTGAGCCGGAGCATTTCTGCTAGGAACTCATCCGACTGAAGCAGAGATGTACTGAGCCATGGAGAATTCACCCCGAGCACAGGTAAATTGCTCTGTGTCAACTGCTCCTGGAAGAACGTGCACCTTATATTCTGAATTTGTCTGCCTTCAAATTCTCTTTGGTCTTTTTGAGTACTGAAGAGCCTTGATTAGAGCACTTCAGTACCAAGATTCCAGTTCTTTCTTTGTTAGGTGACAGAGATTAAAAGAGGACAAGGAGGAGTCAAGACTGACTCAGTCTTTTAGCAATGGTCTCCCCATTTTAAGAGAACATAATGGTTAAATGAAACTACCACGCAAAGACCTCCGGAACTGTGGTTTAAGAGAAACCTTAAAGTGGCATCTATTGGCAAGGGAGTATTTGAAACGTGGCATCAAGAAACTCCTTTTGCAACCGCATAGTTTGAAGAGTGTTTCTGCAGGAGCCAGCTCACCGTCCTGGCTCGTTTCTGCTGCCAACAGGACCATTAAGGGCTGCTGGTGCAGGGATGTGGACAGGCAATTCATTAGCTGTGCCAAAATGTGCAGCACCAGCTCGGGAGCTGGCAGAACACCAGCACGGCAAAAATTCACGGCACCGTGAATCAGAAGATGCTTTTCCACCTGAGACTCTGAAGGCATTTTAACACGCTCCATCTTCACTCCGGAGATCAGTGTTTCATATCCGACAACACAAAAAACGAAGGTAGATAGTAATGAGATATCCACGGCTGTGTGCATGCATCGATAATCGTATTTTCCTCCGAATCAAAGACAATCACATCATCATTAAAAGGAAGCAGCACATTATTAAAAGTCCATTTTCAGAGAAGTAACAGTTTACATAAGAATTTAGAAACGTCGTATTGGACATATCAGAGCTCCAGCTAGCTGCATGTCCCCAAATCTGACAGCTGAAAGATCCCAGGACAATATAGAAAGGTCCTATTAAAAATCTGGTGATGAACAGCAGCTAGAACTAGACTACACAGGGCAGGCAGAAGAGGTACCCTCTCCTTTACCCCCTCTTGATTTCTTTTTTAGCGACACCACTACTTTAATACAGAAGAGTTGCTAACCTGAGACCCACTGGACAGGTAAGCAAATGCTGTATTTTAATTGCAAGGAGCAGAACGTGAGTAACTGTGCTGTGTGTGGAAAGCAAAGACCTCAGTTATTCCCTGAGATGAGAAGGCAGAGACCTATCCACTTCTTGAAAAGAGATGGATGTTTGTAAATGCACTAATTCAGCCATGGAGGAAAGACACTGACCAAGCAGCTTGAGGAATTCGTAGCGTGTAACAAAACTACCTCACAAAATAGGGTTTAACTGGCTTTGTAAACAGCGCACAAAAATAGAGCTATAATATACGAGTGTGAGCATGTTGGCTATGTCAAAGGGATTTCAAACCCCTCAGTCTGCCTCACTGGGCACAGAATTCAGCCAGCACTGGGTGCTTTGGAAGAATCCCATCCTCAAGTTTTCACTCGAGTCTGAATTGAGCAGAGTCAAGGCAGGCTTCCAGATAGCCAGGAGGGCCCCGGATAATTACTTGGCTCATCTGAGCAGATGCACAATTAATGCTCTAGAAATGCTCACGGCCCATCATTGCCTTTGTCAGTTCTGTTCCTGGAGGCTGGGATGAGAAAACAATGCCCTTATTGCGATATCAAGGGCATCAGTGAGTAGGTTTGAGATCGACTTTTAAATTGATAGAAGTCAAATACTTCACTCCTTTCACATGCAGGGCCCCAAATTGACCCTGCTTGGTATCGAGCAGTGCCCCCCAGCTACCTGCACCATCCCGGCTCTGTTCAGTACTTTTCCTAGCCTGGAGGATGCTCTCTTTTGCAACCTGGTGCTTTGCAACCAAGCACCAGGGCTTCAGCCATCTGAGAGACAAAGCTGGTGCATGAAAAGCTGCAGTTCCCTGAAATGACTGTGTGGGGACATTCCCAGCGTGTCTGACCCTCCCAGCAGGAACAGGGAGAACATCATCGCAGAAGAAAACCCCAAGCCAGCAGCAGCACTAACTGGACCCAGTAAGAGAAGCCGGACTGACCTTGAGCGGTGTCTCCTGAAGCGTGGTCCTCCAGGTTGGGGGTGGCTCCTACGCCCGCCTCTTCAGCTGGTCCCAGTTCAGAGGAAGAAGGGGAAAAAACACGATCAAAACCACACGAATTAAGTTTGAGCATGTCTGGAGAATGTATTTACCTCCTTGCTGATTCTGCCCATCACTACTGTGCTACGAGCAGGGCAGCATCAGAAAGGGAATGGACCCATGCCGACGATCAACCTAGCCAGATTTATTCAGCATGTACTGTACCAGGCTGGAGGAGTCCTGGGTGGGAGCTTAGCACAGGCTCCTTTAGGCAGAGGTGGAGAAAACAAGCTGTAAAGGAGCAGGGAAACCTGGGGATTTTCATCCCCACCTAGCATTTACGCTGTTGTTGGCACTCCCATGAAGCCTGCCTCCAACCTGTGCCCTGCCTCCTTGGTCTTCCACCTAGCTTACTGCAACCAACTCTGCCCAGGCTATTAGATGCCAACTCATCTCTGTCTGGTATCAATCTGCTGCTTCAGGAATACAGATACACTAGAGAAGCATAATTTTCTTCATGGCAGTGATAATTTGTCTCTACCGGAATTATTTCCAAGTATTATATAAATACCTTCAAACCAACCTAAGCAATTACACTTGTACACCACAGTTCTAGAGTCAAACTAGGAATTTCTCCATTTTCCTCCTTTTTTTTCCAAATAGTTCTGGAGAAGCTGCTTCCTCCTGGCTCCCTGGTGCAGTCAGGCTTTGCAGACACTGCACATCCCTCCTGGCGAGCTGCCCCCATCCAGGGCTCCTCCAGCAGCCTGGGATGGATGCAGGACAGGCAGTTCACCTGTGGGGCTGAGCTGTGGGGTTGTGCCGGTATTTGGGCACTGGCAGAAGCCCATTTCTACCCAGTACCTTTCTCAGAACCTGCCTGAATTTCCTGGGGAACCCAGCAGCCTACCACACAGGGGCCAGACACTCGTTTTCCACAGACAGGCCTGGTCCTCTCATGGGGTCCTGCTGGGCCGTACACACAGCTCTACCTCTGAGAGACCCCAATATACACAATTTTTCCTCTGAGAGACCCCCATTGCTCCTTGCCAAACCAGGCCCGGGTGCAGGGAGTCCCCACAGAGCATTTGGGCTGAATTAGCCCCTTCCCTTCCTCTGTGTTATCCCTAAAACACACCGCAGCAGCCTGGTTTCCAGCCACCACTCCTGAGAGAGCCGCAGGAGCTGGGCCAAGGCAGGGGGCCACGAGACAAGCAGCAAGGCCCGGCGGCCACCGGCAGAGGGGCAGGGATGAGCGGGGTCTGCAGGTCGCAGATGGCTCGGGAAGGGACTGCACTTAGCCTGGAGATGGGAGGCGAAGCCACAAAGAGACACCAGATAGAAAGATTCAGAAAGATTGCCAGATGAGGAGCTGAGAAAGAGAGAAGGAAAAGCTGCGAGTTTCCCCCAGGCTGGGGAAGGCAAGAAGGAAGCTGTTAAGCTAGGAAGGATTTCTGCAGGCCATGGAGAAGGAAGAAGGAAGCGTCAGGAGCAAAGCAAGCCTGCGAAAGGTTTGGTCGTTTTTAAGCACCAACCAGTGCAGCTCTCTGCCCTGTCTGCATCAAGAGATGAAGCTGCGCCTTGGTCTCCCTCACCTGTGGTTCCTTCTGGGATCTCTCCGTGCTGTTCGACACCACCCTGATCCTCTTGGTCTCCTTCCTCCACTAAAGGTGCTGTGGCATCTGAAAAACAACGCAGCTTTCACATAGCCGGTGAGCGGCAAGGCCCTGGGGGGAGGCAGGGACATTTCTGGAGATGGTTTTGCTCAGAAAAGCACCCGGCTCCCTCCCTCGAGCCAGGCCTTGTGTGGGGAGGACAGCCGAGCACGACACAGCAAAGCCAGTCCCTCGGGGACACCACGAGCTGTCCCCTCTGCCACACAAACCACACGTCTGCATCTCCTAAGGCAGCTGGAGGCTTTGCTATAATCTCTGTCTGAAAATACAGAGCTGAGGCCACTGGGCCTGCAGCTCCCTTCGATCCCTTCCTGAACTATCTGTGCCCTGCCAGAGGGCAATCTGCTCGTCGTGACAGCCCTCATCCGACTGGAAAGAGGTTCAACATCCCTTCTTTTATGTCCTGGTTTCCTGAGCCACACGCACAGAACAGAGCTGTGCTGCAAATCACTGCCAGCCCACACCTCTAACGAGCCAGAGCTGGGACTAGTCAGCATCTCTGCACGTCTTTCTTTTTGATAATTTGTGCAGATAATGCCTTTATCTATCCAAGAGGCAGACACCCAGGATTCTGCCTCAGATTCTGCCTCTTCCTGGCTAAAGGAACACAAAAAGTGCAGTTAATTAAAACAGTGAACAAGTCCCTAGACTACTTCCAAATGAGATTTCTTCCACAACGTGGCATTCAGTGGCACTGAGTCCTACCCGTAGGACCTTTACACCAGCACAAAGTTTTGTTCCGTGTATAGACTCTGTCCATCTCATCATTCCAGCACGAATGGTGTTGGACTGGTGAACGTATAAATACAGACGGATCAAAAAAGAGCTGTGAGGCACAGCTAGCTCTGAGAGTGCTGTGAGTATCTCAGTGGTGCACCATGTGCACACCTCTGCCCCTGGGAGCAAGGTGGGATTGCTCCTGGCTGTGCTGAGCTGATGGGATCCTGTGGTCACCACGTAAAAAGCCTTCAGGAAACAACCCACAAGCAACTCGCTCAACTACGAGCAACATTTCACACTCTCAGCAGTAGGCCTTCCAACCCAGTGTCCACCTTTAAATGAATTATCTCGTTCTGCAGTGGCAAACCTCGCTTGTGATGAGACTCGTGAAGAGCACTTGTCCAAGAGCACGAATACTCCTGCTGAGAAACCCCAGCAGAACAAGGCACAGTGAGTTTTTTGGCAAGGTTTACCACGACCCCATCCATCATGGTTTCAAAGCAGTAAGTCAAAGAGCTCCCACCTTCCGTAGTTGGGGTGCTCTTAGCGTCAGATGTTTCAGAAACAGGCTCATCCGATCCATCATCGACTGGTATCTGAAGGGGATAGCCTGGAAAACATTCAAATGCTTAGAACAAGTCCTTGGCTACGAGTCACGGCCTATGTGTTACGAACCTCTACCAGCCCAGATCCACAGCAGCAAGGAATTGGAGAGTGGAAAATACCTCAATGAGCAAGCAAAGCGTGAAAATGCCAACCAAAAGCACCGGTGCCATCGCCAAAAAGAACAAGCAGGAGCCCACCAGCAAAAGAAAAACCCAGTGAACCAGAGAGCTAGAAAGCATGGCACAAGCAGGAAAAGAGATCTCAGCAACATAAGCAGAAAAGATGTGCAATATTGGAGGGGTTGTTGTCCTCTCTGCCATCCCTAGAGCCGTTAGCTTCCCTCCCAGAGCAGGCTCCCGAACATTTCCACGATGTGTTAATTCTCGTCACTGCAAACCAGCAAGTCTCTGTAACGGGCTCGGTGCAGCACGTAACGTACAATGTGAAGGCTTGGTTGCAAAAGTCATCTTTGGGAAGAGCAGGGCAAGAAGCACAAGTCTCCTCTTTGCAAGGAGTCTGGGCAAATAAAATAATATAATGAGAACTGGAGAAAATGGCTTGGAAAAGAAGATTCAAACTAATGTACGTGAAATCCCTGGGAAGCTGTGATGTGCAAAGATGGGACTACAAGCTGCGAGAAGCTCTGACTGAAATGTGTTATACGACCCATGAGGAATGGATGCTATGGATTCTCTTCAGAAGAGAGACAAACCCACTTATCTGGTGTAAGCTGTGGCCAAAGCACCTCAAGAAAAGAAAACCAAGATGATGTTTACATGGAGCATAGCCAGGAGTGAGTCCCACCACGTCTGCTGGTGTTGTGTGGGCTTCCAAGCTCAACTGTGGAGCATGGTGGAATGAGAAAGGAAAGGCTTCTCGAGAAATGCAGGTCTGAAATGTGGGACAAAAGACCCTTGCGTGGCTCCCGCTAGCAGAGCTCTCTGCTCAGTCCTCCCCTCTCCCTGTGCAGGTGAGAAAAGCAGGCAGCAAGCAGCAGCCTTGAGCCGTGTCTCAAAATAAAAGCAGTGCTCTACTTCGATAGCAAACTGAGGAGTGAACACAGAAACACGTGCCAAGCTGCAGCACTAAGAACACCCCTGGCTAAATACCAGAGGGATTTCTGCTCCTGCTGGGCAATGGTATCAAACAGCAGCGGTTTCCTACGGCTGTGAACACCAGAGCACCTTGTGGGCCACCCATGTCCCCTGGCTGCAGCCCGCTGGTGCACGGCGACCTTCCAGGTCTCCTCCTGGCCGTCCCCAAGGCCCCCTCGCTGGCCCTGCTCTCCCCGGTTTTAGCTCTTTCTTCTCCCAGCAGTGGCCAGGGCAGGTCCTTTACACCACCTGGAGGTGCTCACCTGAGGGGATGTGCTTCTCCTGGCCAGCTGCGTGATCCTCCATCGTGGTGACGTCCTGACGCTGCTCCGCCATCTCTCAGCACAGTTACCTGGGGAAGAGGACAAAAAAATCATCATGCATCAGGAAAATGCTGGCACCGCACACCCTCACCTGCTGCGTTCCCTCCTCCTGCTCCACGCAGCGATTTTGGTTCACCAGCCAAACTCATGAGCACCAAATACCCACCTGCAAGCAATCAACCAACTTCCAGCCATCTCTTCAGACACTGCAAGGTGTCTGCTTTGTTCCCTGTTCTGATGAGCCCTGAAACCCCATCCCTGTGCTCGGGGAAGGTCAGGGCTCAGGATACACGCTGCCTATTGGGTTTCACACCTGTGCTCCAATATTCCCTGGAGCATCCAATGCAGGCGCCTCCAAGTCCACCAGGAGCAGATTTTATCCGCGGTCGCTGAGTGGAGGGCAGTGGAAAGGGAGCACTAAGGTGCTGAACATGTACCTACAGACACGAGCCAACAGAGCACCCATTTTTTATAAAAGACACGTAAAGGAACTGATTTTCTTTGTGCACAGAGGGAAGGTCTAATGATTCCTGCACAAGCACCAGCATGTTCTGGTCGATGCATCCGTCTGTGTAAGGGTATGGGTGAATTCTGCCCAGCTGCAACACCAGAACGACCCAGGTGTTTAGGATTTCCAGAGCAAAACGCCCATCCTGGTGACCCTGGGCACTGCTCAGCCTCTGCTCTGCCACCGGAGCCTTGGCTGGCAGCAGGGCAGGGATGCCTGAAACACTGTGGTTGGGATTTCCAAAGGGGAGAAGGACTGAAAAACTATGCAGAGCCGACAAACCCCATATTCAACCTGCTGGGAAACGGTGCAGAAGGTGCCAGGGAAGCACAAAGCAACACGAACATCTTTATTTCGTCCCGCTTGCCGTTCAACACTATTCCAAACCCTCACGTTCCTGTGGGTTGGCTTCAGAGGGTGAATCCGAATTTCCCAGCCGAGCCACATGTCCCACAAAGAAACCAAAGCCAGGAACACCTCCCACAGGGCCTGAGCGGGACCAGCACTGGGTCTTGACGCAGAAAGGTGCTAAAATTCAGTTATTTTTTCCAGCGAGCATCGAGCTGCTCAAGGAAACGAAGCCGCCAACAAACATCCACTCCTGCAAAGCATGGACCACATTTCTCCTTATCCTCCGTGCTAGCTGGACAGACAGTGGGTTTAGCCGACTTCCTAATAGCTGATATAATTACAGCCAGTGGCAGTGATTAATAACCAGCTATTAAGGGAAATGGCGAGTTTGCCACAACCGCCAGGAGCGCATGGATCCAGCAGCGGGGCTCCGGTTACCAGCAGCAAGGAAGCAAGCTCACGTGGGTTTGTTTGCTGGCAATAAATTCTCTGGATATATGGAACTAAGCAAGAGGGAAGCTCAAATGCCAGTAACCAGATCTTACCCCGTTTTTTTTAAGCCTTGGGAAGATGACTATGCAACTGAATTTCTGCCTTGGACAGCTATAAAGCCACCCGACCTAGCTGTACCAAGGAAGTTCGAGAACTTGCCCTGAAAGAAAATAGTTCACAAAAATTGAGGTATAAAATGGGAAAGAATAAAGTATCCATCGTTTGCCAAAATTTGGGGGGCTGCCCATCAAAAATTAACATCCCTAATTATTTGGGCATACAGCCGCCCTCCTCCCAGGGCTCAAAGGATCGCATTGATGCTATCCCGGTCCCGTTTGGCTGGGACTTGATCCTATTTACAGGTCTAGTTAGTACTGATATGCAAAAATATAATGTTAACCTAGCACACAGAGGACATAAGAGGGCCCCTGTCCCACTCCCTACTGGTGGCCCCCCCCAGCCCAGCTCAGCTCACTAAACCTCTGCAGGCACCAACAGCTCTGCTTCCAAACTGCTGACCCCGATGCAAACCGCCCACAAACACCCTGCTGGATTTAACTGAGGCTTCCTCCTCCTGCCTCCTTCTCTCCTTCCTCCCACCTGATTTTTGGAGAGGAGCACTCAGCCTCTCTCCCAGTCTCCCTGGAAGGACACGTTTCGTGCTTTCTTGCCTCCGGACAAGAATTTCCTGGGACACCATCCAGAGAGGACTCCTGGCTCGACAGCCACCGAGCTCACGCACCGTGCCGGAGGCTCATCTGCTGGTGCTGTGCACGGCACCCGTCTCAGCCACAGCCGTCCTGCTTTTCCCCCGAGCACAGCATCGAGCATCTGTGCAAGCCTGGCACGACGGCAGCGAGCGATGATTCAGCAGAGGCCGGTGGATGTGCCGCTGACCTGCTGTGCTGGGGGTTTTCAGCGCCAGGAAAGGGCTGGGTGTTTTTTAGAGAAGCTGCTTCTGAGCACTGCAGGAAGGGCTTTAATGCTGCAATGCTCACGGCCAGGCAGAGGCAGGCTCTGTTCCCTCTGAGCTCTGGAGCTCAAGGAGTGGAGATGTGCCCGGGAGGATACAGCCATTAATTTTGCAGAGATGAAAGGAAGAGCTGCCTGCTCGGCTACAAGGAAAAAGGCACCACCAGCAGCCACAAAGATGCATCAAAAAATCACTCAGCAATACCCTGAGAGCCCAAGAAACCTGGCTGCAGCTGAGGAGAAGCCCTGGATGCTCATTTATTTGGCCAGCATGGGGGCACGGTTTGCTGTGCAGAGCAGAAGCGTCTCCCACACGAAGCAGGTCATCCTCCCGTGGGCAGAGGAGGAGACGAGGAGCTCCTTGAACCAGCACGAGCCAAGGGGCACAGAGAGGGACCCAGCTTTCACAAGGCTCCCGTGGCATCACGCTTTTAGCAGGAGAAATGCCCGCTCACCAGATGCCTCCTGCACCGCCCTGGACGTGTTTCCTGCGGCTCACCCCCCCGAGGCTGAGATTGAAACCCATCACAGCGGGGCTGATGGAATTTCAACGGGAACAGAGAAGTAAATAAATAACGGCGGGCACGCAGAGCGAGCCGGTGGGTGAGCAGGAAGGAGCCAGCAGCACCATTATCTCTAAGCTGTGAAGCTCTCCCAGCTGAATTCGAAACACGCAGGCCATGGAAAAATCATACAGCCGTATTCAGCAGGAACAGCCTCATAAAGACACTTCGTGCCTCTCCGATGGATGCTCAGCTTCATTCTCTCCTTTTTTTCTCACCCGTTGGACACAGCAAGCTCAGGACTGCGCTGGCGATGCACACGGGGTGGGGATGGATCTGTCCTGCCTGCAAAGCCCCTCTTATTCCAGGGGAACAGCTCGGCTTGGCTTTGGTTCTTGAGTAATAAATGGAATTGAAGCCCTGAGAAAGTGCCTGTTTTGCATTCAGGTTTTTCTTTTTGAAGAAAGAGGGTCTGGGAATCGCACGTTTGAGGAGCTGCTTCGAGTTCTGGACAACGCCTGTAATGACGATCTGTTTCTCCAGTGGGGGACGGGGAAATCCCTCTCAGGGAAAAACATAAGGGGAGAAATGCTCCAAAACCCCTGTAGGAACAGCCCCACCTTGAAGCAGTGGCTTGGTAATGTACAATTACACCACCGAGAGCTGCCCAGAGATAAACTTTGGCAGCACCTCCTGCTTGGCAGATAAGGCACAAGCCCCCCTGAGCACCTTATCCATTCCAGCAGAACCATTGTCGTTCTCGAGGCCACTATCTGCAACCCTACAGCCCGCCCCGTTACGAACAGCTCCTCCAAACCTCGCATTTTTCAAACCCGCAGCCCGCCTTGTGAGGGAGGAGGCGCCTTTATTTTGGGGCCCTTCCCAGCTGTGCAGCAAGGCACGCGAGGAGGCACCACGGGGCCAGGGCAGGAGAAAGCGGCTGCTTTCTGGCAGTGCCAGCTCTCCCACCAGCACCTCTGCTGGTGCAAACTGGTCAGGTCCCTCGTCCTAAACCCAATTTTTCAGGTTTGGCTGTTTTTTGGCGTTTGCACCAGTGCAGGAGGAGCAATTGGTGTTGCATGACGGCGCGCGGCCCTGGAGGTGGTTTGGAGGACGGAGCAGTGGTGCTGGGCTCCCAGCTGGGTTGGGAGGAGGTTTGGGGGGCTGGGGGCTAAGCCCAGTGCTGGCGAAACCAGGAGCAGCTCCTGCTGGGTTTAAATGGTGGCGCTGTGTGGCCCAGGGTGGTCCCTGCGGGACTCTTGTGCAAAAGGGTAGGGGCTAAAAGCCCAAGTGGACGTGGCTACAAAAGCAGTTTCCAGCCCAAAAGAGCCCAAAGCCTGCAGGACCAGGAGCTTTGCTTCAGACTTCAATTCCTCTGCAGGATGCAGTGCTCGGGAGCTGGGGTGCCAGAGCCACAGCCCTGGCATCGTCCTGCACCCTGATGTGATTCAGAAATTAAAGCAGCGCTCCTCTCCTATTGCCTGGTCCACAGTGTATTCCCTAGAGGTGTCAGGAAAATGGTTTGGTGTGGTCTGAGCCGCGGGGGGCTCAAACAGAGCTGGGGTGGCACTGCCTGAGCAGAGCTGAGTGCTGGGCTCCTGGCATCTCCCCAGCACCACCCGCACGCGTGAGAACGGGGCCAGGCAGCGCAGCACCACCTCCTCCCTCCACCAGGGCTCCAGCAGCAAGCACTGTTTCACAAAGAGGGGAGAACAGCCTGTACAAACCAGGATTACTAAAGAAAATTAAAACAATAAATGACGAAAATACGCAAGAAGTTCACCGTTAGAGTACACCAAAGCCTTGTGTACGGGGCACAAACCAGCCCCAGGTGTCGGTAAGAAACTCCTTGGTGCTGCAGCACCTTCCTCCTCCTGCCCCATGCCTCCTGTGCCATAGGGCTGAAGGCTGCAGGGTCTGGTGCTGTGATTCCTGCAGGGCCAGCAGCGATGGCACAGCACACACAGCACACACAGCACACGCAGCACACACAGCACTCACCCTGCTCCCCTGGGGCCGAACAGCAGCGCACCAAGCCCGGGCAGCTTCACGCCCCACTCAGATCCAGCAGCCCTGAGCCTCAATCCCTCAGCAAAAGGTTTCCTCGCCGTGAGAGGTGAAGAAAAGCAGGGCTGGAGAACACCTACCCCACGGAGAGACGCCCGGGGAGGGAAGCAGGTGCCGGGGACCACGCAGCTGCGTT